AATTTCGGACCCATTGGGTAAAATTAGGGCTTCGTTATGTTTTTATGATTTCGCTTTTACCCCATCAGAGTTACGATATCTCTTGTTTTTGACTACGATAATTTGGTTTTGCAAACAGACCCCAGATTGTATTAAAATAATGGGGTCTACATGTAATAAAAGAAAGTATGAGCGTAAAACTAAACTTTTGGAAGGATATTGAGGCAAAACATAAGAAAGAAATAAAATAAAGAATTACAGAAAAAACCCTAATGACCCGCTCGCTCCAGACCATAAGATCCAAAACCAAAAACTAGGTTACACTCTTTCTCTCTAACCACTGTCTCTCTTCTCCGATTCCTACCGCGCCGCTTCCCTTTGCTTTTCTTCGCCGTCCGTCGTTCTTTTCAACACCGTCCTTAGCTGCGGTAAGTCTCTTGATGAATATGTTCTCCTTTCTTCTTCGTCGTCTTATCTTATCGGCGGTGGAGTAATTAAGGTCGGAAACGTTATAGATCGGAGACTTTCGTTTCTGATACCATAAAAAGTTCAAATTTTTATCGATTTACCGGGTTCTTTCTGTTGAATTGATCTCAAATTTGTATTCTTGGTAGAAATTTCGTTGTTAAGGTTCGATCTTTCTTGTTACTTGAGATGTTCTCCGATTGCTTAGTTCTTGGTTTGAAACTCATTATGAGCTATATGTTAATCCACATTTAGTAATTGTTTTATGGCTTGCAATTGTGGAATTCAATTTTGGTTGTATACTTTTTTGAAGTTTTTCTTGATGATTGTGTGTAAGCTTCTGCAATTGTTCTCCTTTTTCTTAAGCATCCAATCATATCTAGCACATTCTCTAACTCAGTTTCTGCTGGTGGCTGATTGATATAGAGACTGAAGTCTAGACACAATGAGGGGAAGGAGCTACACGCCATCACCACCAAGGGGTTATGGAAGGAGGGGCCGGAGCCCTAGCCCTCGGGGTCGATATGGTGGGAGTCGTGACAGGGATCTCCCAACCAGTCTTTTGGTTCGCAACCTACGTCATGATTGCAGGTATATTCTTTAAACTACTTCATGTGTATACTGCTTTTTCCTCTCTTATATTGAGATTATTTGGACCATATCTTTTCAATGATTTTGTGGCCTTGTAAGTTTCGTGATTCCATAACTTGTTTAGACTTGTCTGAAAGGTTTTCTTAAAGCTGATGTATGCCTCACCATCATAGATTGATAGATATGTTTGGTTTGGTGGATGTTCTTTAAACTACTTCATGTGTATACTGCTTTTTCCTCTCTTATATTGAGATTATTTGGACCATATCTTTTCAATGATTTTGTGGCCTTGTAAGTTTCGTGATTCCATAACTTGTTTAGACTTGTCTGAAAGGTTTTCTTAAAGCTGATGTATGCCTCACCATCATAGATTGATAGATATGTTTGGTTTGGTGGATGTTTTTTTTTGTGGCAAAAATATATTTTGAAGCATGTAAAACGAACATTTCTAGATAGCGCATGCATGAACTTCTGTTTCCATATTTCAAGAATGTCACAATTCTTTGCAATAGGTTGACTTTGTTTTCTCTTGACCTTTTCTCCAGGCAAGAAGACCTCAGGAGGCCATTTGAGCAGTTTGGTCCTGTCAAGGACATCTACCTTCCAAGGGATTACTATACTGGGTGAGCATGCTCTGTAGATAAGACATTGAATGTTTGAACATCCGGGGCATATTTTTACTTCACTTCAATTAGATTGGGTGTCTTTATTATAGTTTTCTCTTGCTTCGTAAACCACTTTTTGTGAGTTCTACATGTCATCATCTGCAGCTCATGAATTGGTTGGATTTATAAGAATTTTCTAAACTGTCTATGTCAAATATGTCCGGTTTTATATCCAATTTTCCCAAAATCACATTTGGAGCCTTGAAACGTTTTTATATCTACACTTGAATTTTCAGCGTGAGTAAGTATAGTACACCTAAAACTTCGTCCTCTTCGAGTCACTTTAGGGAAAGAATACAGTGATATGTTCCATTTTCAGTCACACTTTGAGTGTGTTTATTAAAGTTGTTGAGGTTTAACAGTGAATCTAGAGAATTGAAGAGATCAATGAAGTAATTAGAGTTCTTTGGAAGATGTTCTAAATGGTAGTGAAGGTTGGAAGGAAGTTGGGTTTGAATTCTATTTGAAGATGTATCAAGTCTTGGAGAAGTCATCTTTATACTGAAACTTGCAAGGTTTGCAGGCAAGTGCTTGCTTTTTCATGTTTATAATGATGGCTTCTATTGCAGGAGAGTTGTAATGCCAACTTTTACAATAGGCTTCTCGTCAAAGCTGTACATCTTTCTTGCTTATTGTGTTTTTGGTTCCTAGCCTGAGATTTTGTTTGTTTGTTGGATTTTTTGCGCAGAGATCCAAGGGGGTTTGGATTCATTCAGTATGTGGATCCTGCTGATGCTGCTGAGGCTAAACATCACATGGATGGTTCTCATCTACTTGGTCGTGAGTTGACCGTCGTATTTGCAGAAGAAAACCGGAAGAAGCCAACTGAAATGAGAACAAGGGATCGAGGTGGAAGGTGAATTGAGATTCTTCCTGGAACAGGATCAATTTTTCTATACAACCCCAAGGGATGACTTGATCTCAACTTGTATGCTTTTCATGTTTGTAGGAGCAACAGATTCAACGACAGAAGACGCTCTCCTCCTCGATACTCTCGTTCTCCTCCCCCTCGCCGTGGTCGGAGATCACGATCACGTAGCCGCGGCTACAATTCTCCTTCCGCTAAAAGACATCAATCTAGGTAACTAGCTCCTGCATGCCTGTGAAATTCATACTGTCAGATATCCTTACAGTTTTCTAATAGATTAAACCACTCTCTGCTCTCCAACTCTGTCTTATGGCAGGTCTGTCTCACCTCAGGATAGACGATACGAGAAGGAGAGGTCATACTCTCGCTCACCACCCCATAATGGCTCAAGGGTTCGCAGTGGAAGTCCTGGGAGAGTGAAGAGCCACAGCAGAAGCCCTAGAAGAAGCGGAAGCCCAAGAAGAAGCGTGAGCCCAAGAAGAAACAGGAGCTACACGCCTGAACAAGCCAGGAGCCAAAGCCCTGTCCCTAGGCAGAGCAGGAGCCCGACCCCAGTCCCTCGTGGAGCACAAAATGGAGACCGTTCTCCAAGCCAGTGAGATTACTCACCATGTATCTCTCTACTCTTCAGTTTTTCAGTCTTGTTTTAAGTTCTGCTTTATCAGATATTTTGTTTGCCTCTAGATTGATATATCCTACTTAAAATCTTTGTTTAGACAAGCTTTGCTTTAAAGACAGATCTTTGTAGTGCTATTGGTATTTTGCTTTATGTTGGATCCATGGATGATCTTGAGACAGGATTTTGGAGTAGCATGTGTTATTTGTCATCTTATCTTTTAGATCTCATCTAACATTGTTATGTTGAAAAAAAAAGATGGTCCTATTCGGAAATGAGGGAGCTTTTTGACGTAATAAGGCTCCTTTGGTTTTGAATCGGCCTTTTGGAACTTTCCAGCTATTTTCTTCTGTTTTCTTTATCCTCTCCATAAAGCATCAAAGGGAAAAAATAAAAAACTTTGTTTCTTTCTTCAAACAAAATGCCAAGATTAACGGTTTCTTACCTTTTTTTCTCGTAAAGTATTATTTTTGCTTAACATTGGAAAGGTTTATTCTTCCACAATCCAAAGTCCAAACCCTGGGACAAGTCGAGTTATTAATTACAAGTGGTCATAATGTCATATGGTTTATGAGTGTTATTAACGATTCTGTTTTTCTAGCCAGATAATTTTGGCTTCTGTTTGACTTGCCCGAGTCTCTTGATCCGACAAAAGTCTTGGTCGTCGCATGTTTCTGATTTTTTTTTGAATTTTCATTTTTCCCGTAGAGCATGGCTTGGATCTAAATTCACGGCGATAATGTCGATAATCATCAATTCTTTCTTCTTTCTTTGGAGAAATTTGGAAACAATTGTTTAATTATTTTAATGAAGAACAAATATATACGAAAATTGAATCAGACAATTCTAAAAAATTATCAATTTCAGAATAATGTGCCAATAATATGTAGTCGATTCGTTCAGAGTCGAATCTGTGGTGTTAAAAAATTGTTAAAAAGAAGATATCTATTTTTTTCTGAATTATTTTTGAACCGGTGATGAAAGAAACTGCCGAATCAAGAACAATTTGAGCATGCAAGAAACATTTCGAAGTCCCTCAACAAGAAAACATTTGGAAGTCATGCACATGAAATTAGCAAACTCACGAATCTTTCTTTCGATTCAAGATTATATTTAAATAAAAATGGTAAAAACCGAAGAAAATGAGAAGAGCGTGGAAAATCGAGCCTCTTATTACAATCTTGTTTTCTTTAATTTAATATTATTATTAAGGTGGTGGAATATTGCCGTATTATAAGTGTTGAGAAGAAAGATGTACTACTTACTCTTCTTTCCATTTTATATGATGGTTTAGAGATATTTTTTGAATTGTTTTATTTAAATTTTCTTTAAAAAATATGCAAAATTTAGTTGTATTTGATGCTTTGTAGAATGCAATGTCTTTTACTAGTGGTCAAAATATATTTAGTTAAATGGTGTTTTCATTTTCACGTTTTAATTAAAACATCTTTATTTTTGGGTTTGAAATGGGGGTAATGACAATTTGAGCTAATTAATAATTGGGTTGGGGGCAATGACACATTGAGGTAATTAATATTTAATTTCTCTTTGAACTTTGAAGCCTCACCTTCCAATTCACACACCTCTCTGGTTTCCCACGCATTATAAAAGGCAGATGAAACCAAGTTTATTTAGCTCATCAATCTCTTATTTTCTTCTTTTCTTTTTATTTATTTTTCAATTTCCTTTCAATTTCGTAAATAATTTTCGCCGAAAGAAAAGTAAAAAAAAAAGTCTCTACTTTTTGGGTTTCTCTTCGGTGGGTTCACGACAGTCTACACCAGTTAACATCTCTCTTGAACAACCTGCGTTCTGTCTCAGCAGCAAAACCTCGAGTCTTCTTTATCTTTCTCTCAGCAGCAGACGATTTCTCAATTTCTTCTCTGTGATCTGAATTCTCGCCGAGTGAATCTGGAAGCAGGCAAGCTCAAATTTGGTACTTTTTGTCATATTTTCTTGATTTTGCATCTGGGTGTTTCATTATCTCGCATTGTTTGTCTTAGCTTTGAGTCTGAACTAGCTTTTCATTGTATCTTCCACATTCTTCTTTTCTCTGTAAATCCTGTTTTCAGAGACAGAGCACATGTCTGAAAGAACGAAACGACAAAAGAGTTAAGATTAACAATTGTGTCTTTTCGAATGCTCGATGAGTTTGTTGCTTAGTTTCCAGACCCCATTAGTTTACTTCTGTCGGAAATCCTCTGTTTTCTTATATATCCATAAGTTGCTTACTCGAATTTACCAACAACAACAACAAAAAAAAGTTGCTTACTTGATTTTAGGGTTCTTGCCATATTTGACCAATTATAACTCTCCTGAAAAGGAAAAATAAAAAACAGTGCTTTCTGAATTTAGAGTGAGAAATCTACAATCCATGTTATGCTAGGTTTCAAATTTCTGTTACAATCATTAGCATATGACTCAAATTTTGAACTTTTTCAGTGTTTGTGTAGGTTTTAGGTTTTCAAGCTCTCTGTTCCAATGCTGCTTCCAAGATGGTTTGCAGAAGGCTTCTTGCTTCTACTTTCAATTCTTGCGTGTTCAGACGGTAAATTTCACCTAATCACAATTTATATCATTTTACCTTTTTTTATTTGGTGAAGTTCAGAGTCTCTGAATCTGTTAATCTGATTCTTTATACAGCTGCATTTATCGGTGTGAACATTGGAACTGATCTCACCAACATGCCATCGCCTTCAGACATCGTAACGCTTCTCCAATCGCAACAAATCACACACGTCCGTCTCTATGATGCTAATAGCCACATGCTCAAAGCATTTGCCAACACTAGTATCGAAGTTATGGTCGGTGTAACCAATGACGAAATCCTCAAAATCGGACGTTTTCCTTCAGCTGCAGCCGCTTGGGTTAACAAGAACGTTGCTGCTTATATTCCTTCAACTAATATAACCGCCATTGCTGTTGGTAGTGAAGTTCTCACCACCATTCCTCACGTGGCGCCGATTCTCGCCTCGGCTCTTAACAACATTCACAAGGCACTTGTGGCTTCTAATCTCAACTTTAAGGTCAAAGTTTCCAGCCCTATGTCTATGGATATAATGCCTAAACCGTTTCCTCCATCTACATCGACCTTTAGCCCATCGTGGAATACCACGGTTTACCAGCTCCTCCAGTTTCTGAAGAACACCGGTTCTTTTTTTATGTTAAACGCGTATCCTTACTACGGTTACACAACCGCTAATGGGATTTTTCCGCTCGATTACGCGTTGTTCAAGCAGCTTTCTCCGGTGAAGCAGATTGTTGATCCCAACACGCTTTTACATTACAACAGCATGTTTGATGCTATGGTTGATGCTGCTTACTACTCCATGGAAGCTTTGAATTTCTCCAAGATTCCTGTTGTCGTCACGGAAACAGGCTGGCCTTCGTCTGGAGGAAGCGATGAAGCGGCTGCAACTGTTGCTAATGCGGAGACATTCAACACCAACTTGATCAAACGAGTGTTGAACAATTCAGGTCCTCCTAGTCAACCAGACATACCGATAAACACTTACATCTACGAGCTGTACAATGAAGACAAACGATCCGGACCAGTCTCTGAAAGAAACTGGGGGATTTTGTTTCCAAACGGGACATCGGTTTACCCTCTGAGCTTGAGTGGTGGCTCTAACTCTGCAGCTCTAAACGATTCATCGTTGTTCTGCGTGGCTAAAGCAGATGCTGACGATGATAAGTTGGTTGACGGTTTGAATTGGGCGTGTGGTCAAGGCCGAGCTAACTGTGCCGCAATTCAACCGGGCCAACCTTGCTATCTCCCGAACGATGTAAAGAGCCATGCTTCTTTTGCTTACAATGACTATTACCAGAAGATGAAAAGTGCAGGTGGAACTTGTGACTTTGATGGTACAGCCATCACTACGACTAGAGATCCTAGTAAGTTTTTCTCATATTCTCTGATCAATCTATTTCCGTAACTCTATGTTTTCACGTTGTTTCCATAGCCTAAATCTCAAATCCAATGGCTTATGTGTTTTGCAGGCTATAGAACATGTGCATATACGGGAAGGTAACGATTTGAAATTTATGTCATGTTAAGTTTCTAAATCTTTTGAAAATGAAATCTGTTCCTTACTGTTTGAAATCATTTTCCATCTATCTCAGCTTAAACGCAAACTCAACGGGAGGGAACTTTCCTCCGAATGCGTTAGGCCCCGTAAGTCCACTGGGAGGAAATGCAAACGCACTTATCATCTCTAGCTACCATCTTCCCTTCTTGGCACCGTTAGCTCTCACGCTGTTACAACTGTTACTTCAGCACTGACCGCCTTTTGTAGAACGTTTGCCAAAACGCGGTTTTGTAGTAACCGGAGAAGTCTACCGACGACTCGTTTTTTTCCGGTTACCAGTATTTATTGTTTAACTTTGGTTTTAGTGTAAGTGTAACTAGAGACTAGAGAGAGCTCACAAGTTCCCATTCTTTTTTTGTCTCCATCTTTGAACTAAAATTTTCGAGTAAGAGTGATTTAAATTTCATATTCAAATGAATCTTTGTCTTTGTATTCGTTGAGAGTCACGGTAAGATTGCGTTATTTCTGGTACTAAATAATAATACTTGATAAGAGTAAATTTGATATTCCAAAATCCAAAGTGGTGTTGTAAGAACTAAGAACTATGAAAATTGAATAATCATTTATCGAAATTATTAAGGAATCACGTGGTAATAAGATCCCACACAGAAGTATAATCGATAATTAAAATTATTTGGTTGTTAAAAACTCAAAATGATTACAAAATTATTGACGTATTTAGAGGAAAATCAAAAAGGTTAAAAAAATAATCTCCACGTCAGCAATTACTTTATTTGTTTAATTGATCGGACAAAAACGCGGCGTTTCGAAATCTTTTCCCGATGGAGTGCGAGCGAAACGCTGAAGTGGTGGTGATTTGGATAAGCAGAGAGAATCGGAAGACGACGACGACGGGAGATGATGACACCTGGCGGAAGCGGAAGATTAAGGCCGTTACCGACGCCGATGTACGCCGGATATTCAGGAACTGCGTCGTCTTGGGTAGCGAAGACTTCAGTTTCTGCGTCAGGCAAGAGGATACAAAGAGAGATGGCGGAGCTTAACGTTGATCCGCCTCCTGATTGCTCCGCTGGTCCAAAAGGAGATAATCTTTACCATTGGATCGCCACCATCATTGGCCCTTCGGGTTTAATTCCGATTCTCTAAAAATGTTTCTAGATGATCCGATTGAAATTTGTTAGGTTTCAAGTCTTTGAATTTGGTGTTAATGAAACTTTTGCAGGAACTCCTTATGAAGGAGGAATCTTTTTTCTGGATATAATTTTCCCTTCTGATTATCCATTCAAGCCACCTAAGGTATATGATCATGGATTCTCTAAGTTTGATTACAAATGATGATGTCTTTAGGAAGAACTTGGCTTCAACTGCATCACATTTTGTGACAGAGATCATCTAGTGTCGCAATGTCTAGCATATTATATAGTTTTCTTGCTTAAATCAAAGTCTTAGGATACATTTTGTTGCAAAGTCTTGAACTTTTGGGTTTTTAGAAAGTCAAGCTATTGATTCTAATTTTGAGCTTACACTTTTTTTACATCAGTTGTTTTTTCAATAGTCTTTTTGGTTAAGTGGGTGAGGATTGATTTGCAGTTGGTGTTCAAGACTCGGATTTACCATTGCAATGTCGATACTGCGGGGGATTTAAGTGTGGATATTCTAAGAGATAGTTGGAGTCCAGCCCTTACAATCACTAAAGTTTTACAAGCCATCAGATCTATCTTCTTAAAACCTGAACCCTGTAAGTTTCTACTCTACTTTCAGGCTTTAGATCAAACAATTTGAGGTCCTTTGATGAATTGACCAGCTCATGTCAGATCTATCTAAGAAAGTGTTCTTAAATTTACTCTGTTCGTGATGAGTTATGGCCAACGAACATAATATATGTCCACATCCAACTACCGTAGTAACTTTTTATCTTTCTCTCAACATATGTTCTTATTCTTTTTGCTTCTTCTTCATCTACCAGATAGTCCAGCTTTACCAATGATTGCACGGCTCTACTTGACAGATAGAGACAAGCATGACGAGGTAGCCAAAGAATGGACATTGCGATTTGCCAAGTGAGATTTTCGATACGAGGAAAGGCAACTGATGTATTATAAATACACCTAGTTCTTTGGTTAGTTAATGGTCATCAATGTACATCCATAAAAGTGGAACCACAATGTTAGATGGCCAAGAAAGTTGTTTGCTCAGATAATAGGAAACAGTGTGAGGTAGGACCAATCCTCAACAACTCCAATTTATTGAAGGTTACACAATTTAGTGTCAAATCTTTTCATCAAGGACCCGAGAACCAAAGACCACATATGGTCTGAATGTAACTGAGGGATTGTTTCTCTTATAAGAGAGATAAGAGCTTTTTTTTTGTTTGGAAACAAGAACAGTAGGCGATAACTTGTAGAGAGAAAGAGAAAGGCGTTTTACAGGTGAGATAATTAAACCGAAGATTATTATTAGTTGGTACCTAACATGTTCAATAATCTTTATTGATTGATTATCTCCAAAAAGTAAGATCAAACTTTCTATTGAAGACACAAGTGAGACTTGAGAGACCAAATCTACCGGTCAATTCTTTCGTTCTTTGAACCTAACTCTGTTTAACATAATTATCACGAATGGTCAGCACATATCTATCTATGCATGCATGGTATATATATAGAATATGAACAATGAACAACAATGTTAAAAAAGAATAGCATATTTCGAGTCTCTGCGACTAATATCTTCATATCGGTACGTTACAATATTTATCCGTTTAAATTGTACGTGTATTAGATTTGTATATGTAATTTTATGTACTCAATTTGTTTATCTTTCTTTTGTTGATGTTCCCCTAATCCCCTTCGTTGGCATCATATTACTCTTGAGGTTTTTAGTCACAACTTGTTTATAAAGTTTACTTACTTTGGTACGACAACTCGACTAGAGATCTTGGGAGAGATATCCAGTATATCGACTATCGTATCCAATCTTTAAATGACTATATATTTAAAACTAAAAACTTCTTAATCAGAGTTATTTTTACGAAATTGTTTTAGACAATATAAATCATTTTCGTCTAAATTTGGTTGCGCCAGAGATTATCGGTTAGTTATTTAATTTTGCTGCTGTGATGTGAACCGAACCGAAGGGTCAAAGAGAAGGTTAGGTCGGAGCAGCATAGTCGCATGCGAAGTTCGTTTTAAGTAAAAACTTATGTAAACGTCAATTATTCTAGGGGTGTATTTTAATTTTTAAGCTTTGTCTATAATTCAATTTTCCTAGGCTTTTAATAGGGGCAGTTATCTGGCGATTTTGTATGGCGTAAATGTGGAGACGTGTGATGAGAAGAGTCAATGTGAAAACGGCATGGTGTTTTTTGGTTTTAAGTGACGAATTTTAACGGACCATCCTCAACGAGATTGTGATTAAGTAAGCATAGATTATACATAGACTCTGTTAAACACTAAATCTGCATGCATAGGTAAAAAAAAACTATATCTTCGACCAACATTGGTCTTAATATAAGATACGTACATGTGAAATACGCAACAAACTTTGAGTTTCAACTTATTATATAACCCAAATTCATCATCGATTAAAAAACCCTATGAGTTTCAACTTATACAACTCATATTCATATATACATGAATTGTATACTTGAAACATGCACATCTTTGAGTTTTTCTATATTAAAATTTTGTATTACATGAAGATAGAGTTATAACAACCTCTATACTTGTGTGGTGACACAAACACATAATAAACCACTAGGCAACATGTTATATATGATCATACATTCATACTTTAGTATGTAAACTGTCCGGGATATGTTTAATAGCTTAGAAAGTTTTGTGTGTGTGTGTGTGTTTTGTTAAAAGGATATGAAGTTTAGTGTTATAGCTAGGCTGTATTATTTTCAAATTTTTGTACACTAAACAAACTGCTTGAAGAAATTAAACTTATAAACATATCTAGTGCCATAACTGAAGATTGTAAACATGCTTATTAGTTATTTTGTACTTAATTAGTAAAAGCTTAACACGAATCTTATTCAACGACGGTAATATAGACTAAATAAGAATAATGTTGTAAGAACGTTTTTCCTCTTTTGTTAATTGTAGAAACTAAATTAAAAAGCGTTTATATCTAACTTTTTTATTCGCACCATAGATATATCCATATATATAGAGGGAGAGAGGTTTGTGTACTCAGTTACACTCACAGATATGGTTTTATAATCATACAAATCACCACAAAACAACTTAGTACACATATATACCAACCTTCTAGATCGCATGTGTGACCCCTTCTCGAAGCATGATAGACATCAAGATTCGATCAACTATATATCTTCTTGTCTCTGCAGGTCATGTCCTAAGCTAGATGACGACGCTCCAACAATCTCATCCTTACAGTCATCCATCTGCAACGGTTGAGATATTGGGATAATGTTACCAAAAGGATCACCATCATCGTTGATAAGCGAATTAAGAAACGATGAGAACTTGTCGTCGTAGCAGAAACCAAAGTCTTCGTAGCCGTTTTCACCACCAAAGACATTGATACTGTTCTTGCTATCTCCATCCCCGCTATTAATGGTGGTATCATCGGTATGAGAACTAGAAATAGGCTCTAGAGGGTTTTGTCCACCGGAAACTTCTTCCTCTTGTTTGAGGACGTTGTTTGCATCAAGAGGCTTGTGGGTTTGAGGATCAATTCCTTGCCTTAAAAGTTTCTTACGAAGATGAGTGTTCCAATAGTTCTTAATTTCATTATCAGTCCTTCCCGGTATCCTTCCCGCGATCAATGACCACCTGCATTACATGTACATTATAATTCTCATGAAGAACATATACGTGACTTGAAACAATATCGGTCAATTACTTTGGTTACAAAACAAGCTTGCATTTGATTTTAGTAATCATAAACAACTTGAAAAGAAAAAAAATGAATCGATCCCTAGCTAGAACTATGAATTAATTAGCTATAGAACTAGAAAATAATATATATAATTTTTCTTCAATTTAATTAAAATCATAATCCAAAGAAACTAGCTAGAGAAGGGATTAACAATTTTTTTTTGAGTAAAATATCCAATCAAGAATCACAATATAATTGTTTTATAAGAAAAAATGGGATCAAGAACCAGAACCTTCATGTTTATGTGGAAGAAATGAAACCCTAGCTTAACCCTGGTTATACTTCGAGAGACACACACATACGTATCACGTATGTACATAACTATACGATCTTGTATATATCGTTGAATACTAAACGAGAAAATTAGCAATATCTATATATACCGGTTGCCTAGGAGGCGGTGAAGGCGGAGGATGAGATCTTCCTCGTCCGACGTAATTCCACCACGTTTTACCGACGGTCGGAGATAGTTCATCCACCGAAGACGGCAGCTCTTTCCACATCGGAGTAAACCAGCTCTCTTGGGAAGCGATCGCCACCGTCCTTCACCTTCTTTCTTTATGAAGCTCACAAGAATCTCGTCCTCCTCCACCGTCCATGGTCCTCTCTTCATCCCCATCTTCGTGCAACACGGCGTTGTTTTCTTCGACACTTGTTTCTTCACACCACATGACATCATCTCCGCCGTCTTCAACAAAGCTCTCTCTCTTTCTTCCACTAGGGTTTCGTGATCTCTATGAGTTTTTCGATTGGTTGGTTTTTTTCTCAAAGTTTCTCTCCATTAGTGCTGATGTTACCAATGAACCTACCGACCTTTTTGCTCACGCGCTAGCTTCGGCGTTTGGTAATAAATGGCTTTATAATCTTCATTTTAGTTTTTATTTCACCTGCATGGTTTTTATTTTCCTTTTATTTTAAAGATTTTGCAGTAACAATCATATTGAAACCCAAATGACTAAATGGTGTATGTAGGAAATAGCTGAGACCAACCTTGTTACAATGCATAGGTTAGTTGCTTCTAGTTATTTATATTAAAGATTAAATACTATGAAATAATAATTTGATTGGCTATAAACATCGATTATTCCAGCTCCTACAATTGAGAAAATTATAACAAAATGGTTGATAATACATTAATGAATACTAACCAACTTGATTTTCAATAATTAATTAAAATTGACACCAGTGAAAAAGCATTAAATAATTGGACCACCTTTTAAATAGATGATAAATCAGTAATTGGACAAAATGTCAGATATTTTTACACATCGGAAAATATAGGGGTGAAATCGTAAAGAAATAAAAAGCATGGGCCACATAATAAAGAAGAATACAGGCGCATGAGAAATTAACATAAGTATACCTGCTTTATTACAGTTAGTCAATTTCTAACCCAAAACTTTTGTTTTGTTCTTTCCTTTTTCTTTTATTTTGTCATATTTTCACTACTGTAATAGAGCTGGCATCTGATCTTTCAACTCCACCAATCTCGAAATCTTTCTTTTCAATTTTCTCAAAAAATTAAAACCCTAATTCTTATTTTCTTCGTGGAATCTGTTTCCTTGAGGAGCAATTGTGTTCTGTTCGCTGCATTTTTTTTTCTGCTGACGAAGGAAGAAGAAACGAGAAGAGATGGCGCGGCAAATGACGTCATCTCAGTTTCACAAATCAAAGACTCTTGACAACAAATATGTGAGCTTTCTTCTTCTTCCGTAATTCCTGGGATTTGGGTTTTTAATGGGTCTCCTAATGATTTTAGCTTTAACAATTTGGAAATTGAAATTTGGTTGTTTTATTGATTTTAAGCTTCAAGTCTGGTGCTTTGTGCTGTTTTCTCTAACAAGGTTGATTCTTGATATTTTGAGCGTAGATGCTGGGAGATGAAATTGGTAAAGGAGCTTATGGTCGAGTTTATAAAGGATTAGATTTGGAGAATGGAGACTTTGTGGCCATTAAACAAGTCTCTTTGGAAAATATTGTTCAAGAGGATCTTAACACCATTATGGTTTGTTACTTTTTCTTTTTATCTATCTTCGTTATTTGTTCCTTACCACTGCTATGCTGACTTAATCCTGGTTTTACATGTGGATGATTCTTGTGCTGTTGGGATGATTTTCTCCAGCAAGAAATTGATCTTTTGAAGGTAGTTTCCTGAATTTTGGACATTTATCTCTTTACAAAGTTGGGATCCTGATACTAAGTTTTTCTGAACTTATGTCAATTCAGTCACCTTCTGAACTTTGGCTTCTTCTCATGAATGGTTATGCTGGTTAAGATGCAGTCTTTCTCTATGTATTCTAAGATGATATTTCATTGCAGAACTTGAACCATAAAAACATTGTGAAGTATCTTGGGTCGTCGAAGACAAAGACTCACCTTCACATTATTTTGGAGTAAGTAGCTTTTGTGTTTATTTTGGTCCACTCTGTACTATGGACTGGAAACTCAAGTTCAATAATGTGTTTGCAGGTACGTTGAGAATGGCTCTCTTGCAAACATTATTAAACCAAATAAATTCGGACCTTTCCCAGAATCGTTGGTGGCTGTTTACATTGCTCAGGTCTGTATACATCTTTCAAGTTGAGTTAATTTTCGTTATGCATTGTGTACTAACTAGTGAATACAGGTCTTGGAAGGTTTGGTATATCTGCATGAGCAGGGTGTCATACACCGTGATATCAAGGGTGCAAATATTTTGACGACAAAGGAGGTGTGTTTTATGTATTATCTATACTCAAGCATGTCTTCAGTGTATTTTTGTTTAAAGATCTGTTGCATAAGATCTTCTAGGCTTTTTATCCTTAGATAGATACTTGACTACATCACACTTCAGGGTCTTGTGAAGCTTGCTGACTTTGGAGTTGCCACTAAACTTAACGAGGCTGATGTTAATACTCACTCAGTGGTTGGAACTCCTTACTGGATGGCTCCTGAGGTACACCTTTGATTATATATATGTTCCATCACCATATTCTGTATAGGTTAGCTTTTGTATGCAATTTTTGGAAACAAATTTGTTGTTGTTTTGAAAGATGCATTTGTTTGCTCATTTAGAGAACTTACCTGATTATGTACGTATTGACGGAAGCCCAACTTCTGTTTCAGGTTATTGAAATGTCAGGAGTTTGTGCTGCTTCTGACATTTGGAGCGTTGGATGCACTGTTATCGAACTTCTGACATGTGTGCCTCCTTACTATGATCTGCAACCCATGCCAGCCCTCTTTCGTATTGTTCAGGTATTTTACAACATTTTATGAGTTTGCGTTTAGGTCAATAAAATTTAGGTGTCTCTTCCTTCCCCTTTTTACTAGTTCTCCATGTTGTAAACACTTCTCTCCTGAAAGACAAACTATTTTTTATGGTTTCGTTTCAGGATGATAACCCTCCTATTCCCGATAGTCTTTCTCCAGATATTACTGACTTTCTACGACAGTGCTTCAAGAAGGTACAATTTTCTGCTATAGTGTTTACTCACCTACCTCTGTACCAGAGCCTAGACAATGCTTTGTTTAATATCCAGTATGTACATTTGATTTGTATCTTGTGTATTACAGGATTCCAGGCAGAGGCCTGATGCAAAGACGCTGCTCTCTCACCCTTGGATACGGAACTCTAGACGAGCATTGCAGTCATCACTTCGGCATAGTGGCACCATCAAGTGAGAACCTGTGTACTTAACTTTATTTTTTGGAAGAATATTTCAAAATGTATTATATATCCCATCTTAAAGAACACGCAATAGTGTTCCTTGCATCCACTGAACCTGTAATGTCCTTGGGTACTTCTTTCTTTGCAGATATATGAAGGAAGCCACTGCAAGTTCAGAGAAGGATGATGAAGGTAGTCAAGATGCAGCTGAAAGCCTTTCAGCAGAAAATGTGGGAATGTCAAAAAGTGTAAGATTCCTTAGCTCTAATTTACCATCTTTCAATCTTTTGAAGATGCAGATAAAGAGTTGATAAATGAACAGAAGAACGCACTAAAGCTAGAGATGAACTTTCTAAAGCTACTGATACAGTACTTTTTTTATCCAGGACTCGAAAAGCAAATTACCTCTGGTAGGGGTGTCGAGTTTTAGGTCCGAGAAAGATCAGTCTACACCCAGTGATCTTGGTGAAGAAGGAACAGATAATTCAGAAGATGATATTATGTCAGATCAAGTTCCTACACTTTCGATCCATGAGAAATCTTCGGATGCTAAGGGGACACCTCAAGATGTATCAGAGTTTCATGGGAAATCTGAACGTGTTGAAACACCTGAAAATCTTGAAACAGAAACTTCTGAAGCTAGAAAAAATACTTCAGCAACAAAGCAGGTTGGCAAAGAATTATCCATCCCAGTGGACCAGACATCACATAGTTTTGGCCAAAAAGGTGAAGAACGTGGGATTCGAAAGGTTAGTTGTGCTGTTACGTCATTACTGTCCTAGCACTTTCTTAGATAATATGGTAAATCACGAGGCAGTATATCGTGCTTTTTGTGTTGAGCTGATTGATAAGTTCTTTACTGATTAAAACAAAACAGTTCACTGGACTCGTACTGTGAGACTGGTTTTGTTTGTTGTTGGGCCTTGGTCTTTCTTTTTTACAAGATTATGTTCTTATTGCAATACTTTTCCTTTCTTTGTTGAATGACATGTTCAGACTAAGTGCTCTATTTACTGAGTTGAAAACTTGTAAACTGACTAGATTTGTTTTGATTGTTATTTCTCTCTTAAAAGGCTGTGAAGACTCCATCTAGTGTTAGCGGGAATGAACTGGCTAGGTTTAGTGATCCTCCTGGGGATGCTTCTTTGCATGATTTGTTTCATCCATTGGATAAAGTTTCGGAAGGAAAACCAAATGAAGCCTCAACATCGATGCCTACATCAAATGTCAACCAAGGTGATTCTCCTGTCGCAGATGGTGGAAAGAATGATCTGGCTACAAAATTGAGGGCTACAATTGCTCAGAAGCAAATGGAGGGGGAAACAGGGCACTCAAATGATGGTGGTGATCTTTTTCGCTTGATGATGGGTGTTTTGAAAGATGATGTTATTGACATTGATGGCTTGGTATGATCTGTCTCAAGTATGCTCGTTTGATATTTAAAGTAGTACACTGCTAAAATGTTCCAAATCTTGTTTCTCAGGTATTTGATGAAAAGGTGCCCGCGGAAAATCTTTTCCCTCTGCAGGTATTCTGCAAATCTATATCCTATTGTTTTGGCAACCTTTCGGCATTTTATATGTTGCTAATGCTACTTGACCGACTCACTTCATGCTCTGAAAATGATAATTATGTAATGAAGTGTTGAAAAGAGATTTTTACTTCTCAACTCTGTTTTTAGCGATTCCAAATCTTAGTATTTATTGGTTACGTTTTGGTAGGCAGTCGAGTTCAGCAGATTGGTCAGCTCCTTAAGGCCTGATGAGTCAGAAGATGCAATAGTATCTTCTTGTCAGAAACTTGTTGCCATGTTTCGTCAGAGACCTGAGCAGAAAGCAGTATTTGTGACACAGCATGGTTTCCTGCCTCTTATGGATCTACTCGATATTCCTAAATCTCGAGTATGTTTTATTGTAATCTAGCAGGATTTTGTTTTTGCCCTTCATCACAAGTAGTTATTAGTTCGCTGTGAATACTGACTGGCTTGTGTTTGTGAATATTTTATGGTGTTTTCAGGTAATATGTACCGTGCTGCAGCTGATAAACGAAATTATTAAAGATAATACTGACTTCCAGGAAAATGCTTGTCTTGTTGGCCTCGTAAGTCTCACTTTCCATTTGCTTGCTGACTTGGTGTATCACTGGTATAGTTTGGTGGAGATGACCAATTTGTTTTATCAAAGGCTTGTGTCTCCATTTTCTATTTTAAACTTCAATTTGGAAAGCTAACACCATTTTTGGGGAAAATCATAGATAATTTATCCATGGTGTCTTTATCGCATCACTTATGTTTTCATGATGTGGCAAAAAATAACATGAAAATTGATTATTCCAAGTGAAATGGCAGATTCCTGTTGTAATGAGTTTTGCTGGTCCTGAGAGGGATCGTTCTCGAGAAATTCGTAAAGAAGCTGCTTACTTCTTGCAGCAGCTTTGTCAGTCAAGGTTAGTAGTCATCAAATATTTATAATTTTGCTTTTTCTTCTTTCTTTCTTTTTTTTTTTTATATATATTTTTTCTGCAAGTCATAAAGTTGATATGGTTGCTTCTTTGCAGCTCATTAACGTTGCAAATGTTCATAGCTTGCCGTGGAATACCCGTTTTGGTGGGATTTCTTGAAGCAGATTATGCCAAATACAGGTGGGTACTGTTTACCATCTTCATATGGTGTCTGGACTATTCACATATTAAGTTCAGAAGTTAATGTTTGTGGTGTATTTGTTCCATTGAAAACAGCGGATACTTCTAACATTAGCTGACCATTATCTTAATTAGCTCTACTCTCTTCACTCAATTCTGGTTTCTTTAGCTCTATTCTCTATGTGGCACTAAATTCTACTAATTTGGGCTTTTCTGTTCAGGGAGATGGTTCACTTGGCTATTGATGGGATGTGGCAGGTATTTAAACTTAAAAGATCCACCCCAAGAAATGATTTCTGCCGTATAGCAGCAAAGAATGGAATTCTTCTGAGGCTAATCAACACTCTTTATAGCTTGAATGAGGCAACCCGGCTGGCTTCTATATCAGGGGGCGCGATTGTGGATGGTCAAGCTCCACGAGCGCGCTCTGGTCAACTTGACCCTAACAATCCTATTTTTGGTCAAAATGAAACTTCACTCAGTATGATTGATCAGCCTGATGTATTGAAAACCAGGCATGGGGTTGGTGAAGAGCCTTCTCATGCTTCAACCTCAAATTCTCAAAGATCAGATGTCCATCAACCAGATGCTTTGCACCCAGATGGTGATAGGCCTAGAGTAAGCAGTGTTGCTCCAGATGCCTCAACGTCTGGCACAGAAGATATTAGACAACAGCATCGAATATCTCTCTCCGCCAATAGGACATCGACAGATAAGCTTCAGAAGCTGGCAGAGGGCGCCTCTAATGGTTTTCCTGTTAGTCAGACAGAACAAGTGCGACCTTTGCTTAGCTTGTTGGAGAAAGAACCCCCTTCAAGACATTATTCTGGTCAACTGGATTATGTTAAGCATATCACTGGCATAGAGAGACATGAAAGTAGACTTCCTCTTTTGCATGGATCAAATGAAAAGAAAAACAATGGAGACCTCGATTTTCTGATGGCTGAATTTGCAGGTAAGTTTCAAAGTTTTATGTTTAGCAAGAGTGTTCATATTGCAGGTACATATATGATTTTTTGTTTATGCCTTATCATGACATTGTTTCATCAGAGGTCTCTGGACGTGGAAAGGAAAATGGAAATCTTGATACTACGACTAGATATCCCAGTAAAACAATGACAAAGAAGGTTCTGGCTATTGAAGGAGTTGCTTCTACTTCCGGGATTGCATCTCAGACAGCATCTGGAGTACTGTCAGGTTCGGGTGTTCTAAATGCTAGACCTGGAAGTGCCACATCATCTGGTTTACTTGCCCATATGGTCTCTACCCTGAGTGCAGATGTTGCAAGGGAATACTTGGAGAAAGTTGCTGACCTGCTTCTTGAATTTGCTCGAGCTGATACGACGGTAAAGTCATATATGTGCAGCCAAAGCTTACTCAGTCGTCTTTTCCAGATGTTCAACCGTGTCGAACCTCCTATTCTGTTAAAGGTACTTGCAAATACTATGAAGTTTTTTTTTCTCCAAAAGTGGATTCCTAAACCATCTACTTTTTCTCTCTGGCGAGCTTGGATGTTTGATCTAGAGGATCTTCAGGACGCATGCTTACAATGTCTTTCACTTTCCAGATACTGGAGTGCACAAATCATTTATCCACTGATCCAAATTGCTTGGAGAATCTGCAGCGTGCAGATGCAATTAAGCATTTGATCCCCAACCTTGAGCTTAAGGATGGGCACCTTGTTTATCAGATCCATCATGAGGTTCCTTCTTGACTTTCATAGAGTAGCGTTTGGTTGTTGGTTACAATCTCTTGGCCAGTATGATATTTGAAAGATTGAAGTTTAAATTTCTTAAACGTTTATTTATGTAGGTGCTTAGTGCACTATTCAACCTGTGCAAGATAAACAAAAGGAGGCAGGAACAAGCGGCTGAAAACGGAATCATTCCGCATCTGATGCTTTTCATCATGTCGGATTCTCCTCTGAAACAGTATGCATTGCCACTACTATGTGATATGGCTCATGCATCTCGGAATTCAAGAGAGCAGTTAAGGGCCCACGGGGGTCTGGATGTTTACCTGAGTTTACTCGATGATGAATATTGGTCCGTGATAGCCTTAGATTCAATCGCTGTTTGCTTGGCGCAAGACAATGACAACCGCAAGGTGGAGCAGGCCTTGCTCAAGCAAGATGCAATTCAGAAATTAGTTGACTTCTTCCAGAGCTGCCCAGAGAGACACTTTGTGCATATATTGGAGCCATTCTTGAAAATTATCACGTATGTATATCTCCCCTTTTTTACAGCTAAAACTTAGAAGTACAAGTGAAGTTGCCCACTTCTTTAGTCTAATCCTTTGTCATTCTTGAATCCAGGAAATCATATCGGATCAATAAGACATTAGCTGTAAATGGATTGACTCCACTGCTCATTTCAAGGCTAGACCATCAAGATGCGATTGCTAGACTCAACCTCCTAAAACTCATCAAGGTAAAGAACCATTAAAAAGCCAAATATTATCTAATAAGTTACTCTTGGTGTTTGACTGTTTGGTCTTGGCTATTGTTGAAACAACAGGCTGTTTACGAACATCATCCACGGCCGAAACAGCTGATCGTAGAGAACGACCTCCCTCAGAAACTGCAGAATCTGATAGAAGAACGACGAGATGGACAACGTTCAGGAGGCCAAGTTTTGGTGAAGCAAATGGCAACATCTCTCCTCAAAGCTCTTCACATTAACACAATATTGTGAGTCCAAAACCATTACTTTCCCCTTGGGGGACTGTACATTTACTCCCATTTTTCCAAGAAGAAAAGTGTCTCATCTTCTTCTTCTCTTCCATCTACAAAATGTGAAACTTAAAAGATTTGTAATTGTTATTCAGTTGTGTGGCTTCACTTGTGTTTTTAGTCCCTCGAGAGATGCCAACACTTGTGGTTTTTGTAAAATATATATTGCTCTTGCATGTTTTTCTTTAGAGGAGCTGTATTTAAGTGATATTTGATGGATTCTGAATTGAGAATATGATAAATCATTAGTTACATTACATGCCCGTAGTTGAACTCATTATAGTGTCTGCCTCTGTTATTATTGTTACAGACAGTTTTTGTACATAAAACAACATTTTGAATCTCCAATATCCAAAGTACTTTACATGTAGCTCATTGGCATCATCTTCTTTGTTCAGTCTCGTTTGTTCAAAGAAATAGTAACCAGTTTCTTCTAGTTAGATGGTACACAGTACACTTGACCTAAGTTTTGAATAATAAAATTAATGTGATCCTATAACATTGGAGCATAACTCTAAGGTTAACACATAACAGAGATTACTCAAGCAGATAGGATCATTTACTTTACGCACAAATAAAATCCTCGAAACCACGTTTAGAGCGAATCTAAAGGCTTCGAAGAAGAACTATGTGCGATAATCAAAATCATAGATTGGATAAAGACAACAAAGGTGCTCAGATATAGAATGAATGGTTGGGAAGTAAGTCTCTTCATTAAGAATTTTCAGATTAACGAGATTTATAAACCCATCATCACTGCACCATCATGCCCCAAAAAAAAAAACGAAAGACGAAAACGATTTTAAACAATCAACTGAAACCAAGGAAGAAGAAAGGTGACGACTCTCAATTAGGGTTTGTAGAGGAACACTTTATTTATAGGTCTTGCGCTAGGTTTCCACGTCGTTGACTCTTTGTTATGGGCCTTGAACCTTTTGATTTGGCCCATTATTGTCTGAAGTCTACTATGATACCTGAGAGATATACTAACCCACCAAGCTATTACGGCCCGTTTGTCTCATACGGTTTTGGCCCATTATTCTCTTTGCTTCTGCAACTTTCATTGGACAGGACAGGATTCGTGTTTCAGTGAAAAGGTATGCAAAGACTTATGTTGGAAAACATATGCACTGTTTGTTTGATAAAATTTTAGTCGGTATTCATATGTAAATGCAAATGCAGATTATTACTTTTTGTTTTATCTAAAAACGGAGATATTGTTATTTACTATTTGAAACACACAAAAAACAAACAATAATAATTGAGACCTAGAGGCTAGAGCTGTTCTCAATATCTTATGTGCTAAGTTATATATACAGCCGAGCCAATAAAAAGAAAAGTTGTATTCAATCTTTTGTGTTGGCTTAAAAGGATTGGTTTCCGTCAAGACTGTGTGTCATCAATCATCATCATCCATTGCTCTTTTTGATTCGCATGCCAACAAGTTTTATTTGTTTAATTTTTGTTAATGAATATAGAGAACTTTCCAGAAATAAAAAGGAATCAATCAAACTAAAAAAAATTGGCGGCCACTTACAAAAGCTTTTGGATCGCTTCCTCAAAGACATAGAAAAAAACGAAAAGGAAAAAAAAAAGCTAAGGTTATTATGGTCCCATTCTTGCTGCTGACCACTTTTCCTCTATGCATCTCACATGGCTTAACATGTTCTTGTCTGATACCATCCCATGCTCCAAATATAAAATCTTTTGATTATTCACTTACTTGATTAGTTGGTGGTTTTGTGCTCGGTTGGTCTGAAACTTAGCCTAGTGTAAAGTTAATCTGATAGGCCTCTTGACACTGATATTCAGGCTATGTTTCAACTCTAACTATACCAAAATCATTATTGGCTATGAATTAGTTCCTATGACTAAATTCATTTAGCCTTTACAATGTAAAATGGAAAGCTTTATAAAGATATTTGATTTCCACTTTTGAGTTCAAATGCATGTTTGATGCAATTAAGGTTATAAGGTTGCTGCAACTATATTCCTCATATCCTTCTTGTCTCGTTTTGGAGCTTTATTGTTGTGCCCACATTTGTACTTCTATTTGTTTTCATTTTAGTGAAAAGTAGTTCCGCTAGAATTTTATTGAGAAAAAATCGAGGCCATAACATCATGTTGATGATAATTACCACACATATAGCATATTTTCAACGATACCACAACCTTCCAAAATTTCACAGCTCATCGCACCATTGATCATAATTCATACCCCTCGCAGATGTGAGGTTTAAATCGTTTGTGTGGACTTAGATTAGATATCTTGCATGTCATGTTTTTCTTATGGTTATTGCCGATTAACCAAGACTCGGAAAACATTGATAGAAAGAAATCAATCCATAAATATAGTATTAATTATGTATCATATACACACAAAACACTCATGCAACTATAATATAGTAATCCAAATATTAGAAACAAATAACAAATAGCTCATGCCATAAGACATAAACCGAAGTAAAAGGCAAAACAATTTAGAACCTAACTCAATGAAATGTGTAGATTGGTTTAGAAGAGAAACCCAGATGCCAAAGCAGCAACAGATGCAAACAATGCCGGGACAAACATGGCAGCATCGGAAGTAGGACTTGGAGCCGGAGCCTCTGTCTGCGCAGCCACGTTTCCTACGGCGGAGAAAGCCACAATAGCTACCATCAACACCACCATGAGCTTCATGTTCATTGACTCCATTTCTCCTCTTTTTCACTTAGAAGAAATCTAGTCAATAGAAGATATGATGAGGTTTTATTCTTCTCTTTGGTGCGAATACTGAGTTGTTGTGGCCTTGTGGTTATGAAAGGGTATTTATAAGCCAAATTTTGGGAATGTTGTTTCCAGAGACGTCTCTATAAAATATTTCGCTTAGTATTTTACTTAACTTTTTAGTAAAGGAAAAGGCATCCGAATTACAGCAAAATAACAGAAGATAAAAAACAAAAAACGTAAACCATTTCTTTATATAAATAACTTTATGTTTCAAAATTAAATGTTATTTTAAGTGTTTTCACACATATCTAAGAAAACACTAAAAACTATATACTTTACATTTTATCGTTTGCCAAGGATTAAACTTAATCTTAAGTGTTTTCAAGCATTCTATTTTAAGTGTTTTCAAACATTTCTTTTTACGTAATACACTACATTTTATAAGGATAAAACTAAATTTCTATGAAAAATTTTACATTGAAAATGCAAAACTGCTTTTTGTGTAACAAAAAAAAAAAGACTTTTTATTTAAAATGGATTGAATGTATGTATTTATTGGACGCTTTGAAAAATTACAATAAAATACATTTTAAAGTGCCTTAATCTACATTAATACTTTTGTTCAATTAAAATTGTAAATCTATTCAAATTTACTTCATGCGGAGTAGCTTCAGGTGGTTTAATCCAAGTACCCAACTAAACAAAGCACTTAGGATATGGATAATTTTTCAAAAACATATGTTGATATGTAAATGTGAGTGGAAATTGGGTGTTATTCTTCTTGAAAAAGAAATCAACAAAACAACAGGTTGTCCAAATAGTATAAACAGCTGGCAGAGATTGGCTGTCTCTTGGCCCAAACTACATTGTTGTCTTTCTCAACCACTCTGTTCCTTCTTTACAACCTCACCACTCATTCATTACTAAAATGTCTTATTCTATGTTTTATTGTAGCTATAGTATTAACATCTTGTTCTAATTCATACGGTAGATTAGACCAAAATATTGCTTTGAATATACGTAAATTGTGTGTAGCCTTCGTGTTTTTTAAATATATTTAGTGGGTTTTTAAATTCTAGAAGATGTCTTTGACATTAGATTCAAATTCGTTTTTCTCCTAATATGGTTGAAAATACAGATGGTAAAGTCTACGTTCAAAAGTAAATTATGCAATGCGTGTTCCATTTTTTAATACTTCTATAACCTTTCGTATACATTGTATCGAGCTTTAAATCTTGATATATGTATGATCTCCACGTTTAAAAATTAGTTCTTTTTCTGGAAAAGAATAGTTTAATAAGATTTGGTATCCTTATGTTGACTCATGATCGTGAATCTAAAGAATGGCGTATGAACACTCAATACCTAGTTTGAGATGAAATTCAGGGATCCAAGGACTTGATTATAAATTTTTGCTTTTGTATTTTTCTTGTGGGTTTTGTAATTTCTGATAGTGTTCTAAAGTTGATTGCGTAACTAAAGGATCAATTAGCCGTTTTAGCCTTTAGAGTTTCGTCGAAATTAATGATAATGATAATGCTTTCCCCAACGTTCACAATTTCATATCATACCAAACTATGAAAATGACCATCCACCTCCTTTTTCACACATATTTTTTTTTCTTTTTCATATGTCGGTCATTTATTTGTTTTAAATCATTAGAATTAAATATGGAAACGGCTTATATATTTGTTTTCATTAAAAAAGTAAAGAAACTAGCCGGAAAGCTTGAATACCAAAACATGCATTATTAAAAGCATGGGGTTTCACTACAAATGTGGCCCCAACCAATCAAAGTAATTGTTGTTGTTTTCCAAGTTCCAAAACAAAATGAATAGCTCCTTCATTTTTATATTCCCTGTATATTTATACTTTATACTAATATTCATGAAATTTATATTAGTATATAGATATTTTGTTTCTTCAATATAGATACTTGTATTTTAGTTTGAATATATAGAAGAAGAGACCTAAAAATATTTCTTTGATCATAATTTTACAAGATTTTTTGTTTTGTTTGGGATTCTCTTTTATACATTTTTTATTTACAAATTATAATAGTTTAACGACCAGTGCATGATGATTACAAACTTTAACAATGTTTGTTTACGTTCACTTTCTTTTTTACTTTGAAAATGGAACGTTGGTGGAATTTGTATTTAATTGCTTTCTTCGACTATCTTATTTTATTTGATAACATTTTCAAATTATTTTTGTAACGTGAAATTTATTTTTTTTGTTCCTTTTACATTTTGACAAGATTTTATGTGGAAACTAGTATTTTCTTAATTACCAATGATTTCTGAAAATGACAATTTTATAATAGATCATATTATATATAAAAACCTGTATAATTCCAGATCAATGTGGCTGAAAAGTATCTAACGTGATCTCAAAATTACTCTACCAGAGGAATTTAATTTGCAGCATTACTTGGACACTTAAATTTTAGAAAATGGTTAAAAATCATCAAACGAGCAACAAAAGAAAAAATGAACGATATTCATATGTATAAAGTGTTAAGAGGCCTGAATTTAGAGAATAACATTGTGCTTTTTGTAAGCCCATGTATAAATAAATCTTAGCCCACATGATTCGTGAAAACCAACACGGACAATTCATCAATTGTTGTCCATTAATCCTCAGGTAGGTAAAATTGGGTACTGTTACTGTGGAAGCCCAGTGACTGAATTTGAGTTATGAATTTCTTCTATCAATGAGTTGAGATTGTTAATGTTTATCTAATGTATATAGAAATCAGAAGATTGTGTGGTTGACCCCAAATTAGTCCAAATGCTATTTCTTTCTACCGCATGTTTTTTTGTTGATTGTGTAAGGATTAGAGAGATTGAGTTAAATATTTTGGAGTTGAAGTAAGATCAAAGCTTCATAATGTGGAACATGAACTTGTTATTTAACTAAGCTAAAACTCAAATCTCCAGTGACACTTTTGTCTTTCAATGTTGAGAGACAAAGAGGATTTGAAAGCAAACACAAAGCATTAAGAGGCGATTTAATTATCAAGTTTTCTGGTGAAGAAATGAGTGATCAAAGAGTGGACATACAAAGAAGTGACATCAATGGGATACTAAGGGCCAAAGTTTCTTTGAGTTTTTAAGAAACTTAAAGTCACACCTACTACTTTCCCCCCATCTAGTTACATGGAGACTACTACAAACAAACACCTTATCATAAAGTTAAAAACCAGACAAACCTCAAAACTTCCCATCATCTAGAGAGCTTACACTAACATCACTAATTGACATTTTTTTTTACTACAGCCTAATACTACTACCCAAGGAGGAAATTCACAAGACTGAAAGAGAGTTACAAGCTGAGTAACACTACACATGCCCGGCTTATGGGCAGTTCTTGTTCTTACCGGGACCACCGTAGTAGAAGTAATGTCCCCAGTCATCATTGCTTCCGGTTTGAACATCATAACAGTTGGACTTCTCGGTGAATGTACCAAGTCCTTTTGGTGCTTTGAGGTTGTTAGATCCATCTACGACTTGAATGTTCCGAAAGTAACTTGCTTTGCTGAAACCTTCTTCTGGGAAGTGACCACTTCCCATCTGTGTCCAAGTGTGGTGGCCTTCTGACTGCGAGTTCACAACTTCTCCTCCCCATTCGATCATCGATGCACTTTCTGTTAGGTAGGAGAACAGAAATGATGGCCAGTACCCCAAAACATACCCATTCCCAAATTGCATCCACCAATGTCCCTCCTTTGGATCCTGTGACATGTTTAAACATAACACATTCACTCAAGGTTTCAGTTTTTCTTTAGAGCAACAAAAGATTTCAGTTATGACACTAGTACCTTCCAGATTAGAATACTAATATCGTACTGGGAATTACGATATCCAGAGACTGGTGAAATGCTTGCTCCCATTGCTATGTCACTATCGATTTGAATAAAACCCGAGCAAAGAAGATTGTAGCAACCGGTAGCTTGATAGGCATCACTCTGCAAGAAGAAAGATTGAGCAACATAAGACATCATGGTCTAATACACACCACAAATATTCAGTTAAAAGGGAGCTTCGAAATCTTACAGTCCAGTAAGTGAAGAGTCTTGTATTATTGTCTCCATATAAATCCGGGCTCACCTGTCATAAGCACCACAATTAAAAACATGCAACGAATTGCACTCAAATAATGTTTGCATAACCAAGAAGAAAAGTGTCTTACCTGCCAGCCAGCTTCAATGCTGTTAAGATCTTGTCCAAAGGAACCACCCAAAAGCCATATCTGCGATAAGCTGAATTCATTTGTGTTCTGTATCTTTGGCTCCCACACATTCAAAGTCGCCTTAGCTCCGTAGTACTTATCCCCTTCCACATAAGCTATGGCGTGCTAATCTCATTCAAGAGTTCAAGAAACCAAAGCTTAGATCAAATTGCCTCATACCAAACAAAAGTGATGAACCAATGAAGCTTTTCTGATTTCACTCACCTGATGACCATTTTGGTTGATGAGGTCAGGTTCTGCAGATTTAGGAATAGGAACAGACCTATGCTTCTTCTTGCCGTATCTTTTGACTGAACTTGCTCTCAACACATCATCCTCCTTTGTCCTCCTCACGGGAATCGTTCCTTCAGTACATTTGCCATACCGGTGCCACAACTGAGGGATATGAGTTTCTTTCCCCTCTGGTTTTGCAGATACCTTATTGTCATCAAAGAGCCCTTCAGGGTGGTAACTAGGCCTCATCTGAACACACCAAGTAACCATAAATTAGCACTAAAACAAAACATCTCAAGAAAATTATCAAAATCATTAGTGTTTTCCTTTCTTTGAACCTGAATCTTGTGGTCTTTGAGGAAAGGGTGGTCAAAAGCTGGCTGCTTTGAGATAGGAACACAGTCGATTATATCTCCATCAGGACTCTGTTTAATCAACCACAAAGAAGAAATTAAGGAAAAATCTTCAAGACTAATGATTGTTTTTAGCATTAACTGATGAACAGTTACTAAAACATTGTGGTGTAGCTACAGAATCAGAGAAAGCTTCATTATTGTGCCAATTAGCATACACAAAAGTAAGTCAAATAATCATGTAACAGGAGAGAGAGAGAGAGAGAGAGGGCAGATTCCATCATTTTCCCATCAAACTGAAAACAGAGAAAACACAAAGTAGTTAAGAAGAGAGAAGGATTGTGAACCTGAATGGTCTTAACAGGAGGTTTGTTGAGCCTATTCAAGTGCTTCTTCACCTCAAACTTCTGCCTTGAAGAGCCATACCTCGCTGCTGCGCAGGATAGCGAGAGCATCCCCCACAGCCATAGACACACTAAGAAACCTCCATTGAACTTCACAAGGCTAAAATGCACAGCTCCCATTGTCACAATAAACCCAGAAACACCAAAAAGAAAAGAACTTGGCTTTCGCTGAGAAGATTCACACAGACACAAACACTAGGCCTAAGCTATAAGAGTACCTCAGAGCCAATGAAAGAAAACCCTAAAAGAGAAGAAGTTCAAACAAAACAAAACAATGATAATGTTGTTCGTGGGGACAAGTTTGAAGGTGGGTTTGGTTTTTCCTTGTAACAAAAATCCAACCACACATATCAAAATCCAAACTTTCTCTCAGTCTCTCTCTCTTTCTCACTTGCTCTGCTTTGAGAGATAGTGGAAGTTCTCTCTTTTTTCACTTTCTCGCTCTCATGGGCCCCACCCATACCCTTTTTTTAATTAGTTAATTATAATATATGCATGATTAGCAATTTAGTTTACTCTTGATTTGTTTTCTCTGTTAAACAAGCTTTTTTTTTTTTTTATTGAGCTTTGAGAAATGACAATGTCTAAAGTTGAAAAGAAAGCAGATTAGAAACGTCTTACCAATCCCACTGTAAAACTATAAATGCCCAATTAGGTGGTTTTTATTTTGACAATGTCAATTAGTTAGTTGGTTCTTGTAATCTTTAACTAGGAGCATTATAAAAATGTTAGTTTTTCAAATTGGTCTACGTACCTTTTGAGTATTATTGGTCTGTCACGTGGTGTTTATGGTTTGAAGACAACCTTGGGGCTCTCTCTTCCACATTAATCTCCCAAATTTTCCTGTTTTGCCCCTCTCGATGAAAGCAAAAATGTTATTTTACCCCAAGGATGGTTTTGTCTTCTTTGAATGCGAACGTAAACGGTGAGAAAACTGAGGCGTTAAAACTCTGGACTAACGTCGTTAACTCCACGTCAGCCATGGATGAGCCACGCTTTTGTATACTACATGACAGCTAGTAGTAACTAGTAGCATCATCGCACGAGAGATCGCACGTAATGTATCTGTGTTTAGGCAAAGCTCACACGTGCGAGAAGTTGCATCATTCACCGTACACGTGTCATGTTATGGCCATTGAACAAGAACAACGCAATGACAATGGGAAATGGAAGTCTAGCCAACAACGGTCATAAAAATCGTAAGAATCCAATGTGAAATTAGTTGGAACCATATACTTGTCTTAAATAAAGCCAAGTTTCTCTCCCTCTCTCTACCAAATTATTATAGTATCTCTTAATTAGGGTAAAATCATAAATGATTGCTGAGACTTATTGGTCCTTTTTTGTCCATACATTTTTTATTATTTGCGGTGATACTTTGTTTCATAAATTGACATTCTTAGTTTAACTTTAATAAATAAACTTTTTACGTGCGTAGAACGTAGAAATTAGATAGCAATGTCACTGGAAGGTCACATGGTGCATTAACATCTCTTACAATGAATTTAACGGATGTCCATGATAAATCCGGTTAGATCAAATTCTAAAGCTCACGTATGACTCGCCAGGGTAGATGTTGCGGCGGAGATGAATTAAATAAGAAGACACATTGTTAAAACAAAATTAGGACTCATGGAACATGCATGATTGATGAAACTACGTTGGCCATGTCTTGAGAAGAGTTATTTACGTGGCATCGATGTATTGACAAATAAGAAGTTTTGGAAATAAGAGAAAAAGGAATATTATAGTGATTTTGTTTACTTTTAGTATTGGGTGTTTCCTTTGGATATATTTCATGGGATATCTTAGTGCACTTGATGACTTATGTGCCGAGAAATTCAGTGTAATTAAGAGGCGTATGGGTGTGTGTCCTATCGTCACACCGAAATTTATATTGAAAAGCAAACGTGTACCGTTTAGACTTTAGAGTTGAAGTTTAGATTCAAGTACTTTAGCTCAAATCTAGTTTTATTTAGAAAAAAAATTGATGTAATAACCGAACTTCGTAAACAAATTTACTAGGCACTAAACTATTTCTTTTCTCATATAGTTAGAACAACGAAACTAGCTAGTCCCGAATATGTGTCTACATGAATTATCTAAATTTGACTACTACACATGGGCTAAGACTAGTCCGGAATTTCGGTAAAGCGAAAGGCTATCCAAAACTTATATAATTGCAATAAAAAGCCACAACACAACGTTGTGATAGGGTATGATAAAAGGAGGGAAAAAAAGCAAGTAAAAGATTTCAATTTATGGAGCGATATAAATTGAGGGGATGGAGAAAAGTAAGTAAGATAATAGTGATATGATGGTTATGACCATACGAAAGGAGGTGGAGCCACAAGCTTTTCTTATCGTATCCTCTTTATTTATTTATTTAATTTGTTAAATGTTAGTATGTTACTCCATTATTGGAAACATAATGCGAATCTTTTTAAATATCCTTCTTCATGTACAAACTTATGAATATACGATGATATCATATCACAAATGATGCACATATTCAATAAATGATAAATTTTGAATAATGGAGGAACATCTTCTTCATAATCTCTTGGTGTTTACATACCAAAATTCTTAACCATTTCAAAATATGTGAAAGTCACATCAAAATCGCGGTGAAGAAGTTATTTTGAATGTTTCGTTCGATGGATTGTTGGAGAGTACAAAATGATTCGTTCGTCAATGGCTGTATAAATAATTATATATAGACACGGTACTAATGTATCCTTGACTTGATCGTGTGAATGGATGTATGCATATTGGTAATGAATGGTGACATGGTAATTGCGTATTTCACCAAAAAAAGTTGAAAACCACGTTTGATACACCAATCAGCATTTATTCTATACATTTGTGTTTTGTTTTTTTTTTTCTTTTAAAGTATATGCGTTTTTGGAAGAGAGGTAAAAAACTAAAAACCCTTTGGACCGCCTTTCTAAACTAGAACATGTTTTTACCCTGTGGTTCAACAAAAAACGCAATGGGTTATATATATTATTATTTTTTATTTTTTTATTAATAAAAAACATCTATATATGTGTAATAGTTTTAACCCTAAGTAAATACATATACCTCCCTCTCTCTTTTTGGACAACATCTTTCTTCTCATAAAATTTCAATTAATATTCTACTTTTTATGATTGAATTTTTTAAATAATTTAGCAATAATTATGTCAAAAAATTTAATATGTAATTTAAATCAATTTGTATATTTAAGATTCATAAATATATGAAAATATTTCTTCATTACTACAAAATAATCACTAATTTATAATTATTGTGTACCGCAAATAGTTTTTTCACCAATCGAATTTTATTCCGTACCGCTTATTTTGTATTAATACTTTTTTTAATATGTTGTATTTTTTTATGATGAAACTATTCAACGGTTTTAACAATATGTATGTTAAAAAATTAAATTTATATTTTGATCAATTTGTGTATTAACGGTTTATAATTATATGTTATTGTTTCTTCGTTAACAAAAAAAAATTAATTAATCATTAATATATATATAATCTATAATCTGGACCGCTTATTGATTTGTTACCATTCAAACATTTTATTATGTACCGCAATTAGTTTTTTCACCAATCAAACATTATTCCGTACCGCTTATTTTGTACAAACCGCACTTGTCCCGCAAATACTTTTCTCCCGCATGTACCGCAGTTGAACCGTACCGCACTATAATACCGCTTTTCCCGCACAACAAAAAACGCTGTTACCATTCGGACCCATTGGTAATGAATGGTGACATGGTAATTGCGTATTTCACCAAAAAAAGTTGAAAACCACGTTTGATACACCAATCAGCATTTATTCTATACATTTGTGTTTTGTTTTTTTTTTTCTTTTAAAGTATATGCGTTTTTGGAAGAGAGGTAAAAAACTAAAAACCCTTTGGACCGCCTTTCTAAACTAGAACATGTTTTTACCCTGTGGTTCAACAAAAAACGCAATGGGTTATATATATTATTATTTTTTATTTTTTTATTAATAAAAAACATCTATATATGTGTAATAGTTTTAACCCTAAGTAAATACATATACCTCCCTCTCTCTTTTTGGACAACATCTTTCTTCTCATAAAATTTCAATTAATATTCTACTTTTTATGATTGAATTTTTTAAATAATTTAGCAATAATTATGTCAAAAAATTTAATATGTAATTTAAATCAATTTGTATATTTAAGATTCATAAATATATGAAAATATTTCTTCATTACTACAAAATAATCACTAATTTATAATTATTGTGTACCGCAAATAGTTTTTTCACCAATCGAATTTTATTCCGTACCGCTTATTTTGTATTAATACTTTTTTTAATATGTTGTATTTTTTTATGATGAAACTATTCAACGGTTTTAACAATATGTATGTTAAAAAATTAAATTTATATTTTGATCAATTTGTGTATTAACGGTTTATAATTATATGTTATTGTTTCTTCGTTAACAAAAAAAAATTAATTAATCATTAATATATATATAATCTATAATCTGGACCGCTTATTGATTTGTTACCATTCAAACATTTTATTATGTACCGCAATTAGTTTTTTCACCAATCAAACATTATTCCGTACCGCTTATTTTGTACAAACCGCACTTGTCCCGCAAATACTTTTCTCCCGCATGTACCGCAGTTGAACCGTACCGCACTATAATACCGCTTTTCCCGCACAACAAAAAACGCTGTTACCATTCGGACCCATTGTCTTCGGTGTGATACATTCAGACATGTGACTTTTTCACTTTATTCGTTTTTAGTTGAATCATTACATAGATAGAGAGATGCCTTTAATCCAATTTTTGACTTCATCATATGTCATGAAATGTAATTATAGCGACATCAGTAGATTCACTACATATCAAAACCAAGGAATAAAAAAGATGAGAGAATTTATCGATAAAGAAAATCAACATGACCTATGCGAAATGGCAGTTTTAATATTTAAATAGAGAGACCAAACCCAAGAAAAAAAAATGTCCACCAAAAAAGATCTAGAAGCTGATATATATTGACAAATCACAAACCAACTGAATTGTGATCCAATTTTGAAGGAGTTTGGAACAGAGGTAGGTAGAGGTGTACAATTGAATTGTGATCACAACCTGTACTCAGCAGATACAAGCTTCCAAGTAGTAAAAGAGGCATATCAAACGAAAACTGATTCAGCAAGTCTCTTGGACATGATCTAGTTGCTTGGAGAATGATTAATGTCCTTCATAAATCTGAATTTTCTTGTTGTCTTCTAAGATGCAACCAATTCAAGAAAATAAATATAAAAAATGTCCAGAAGCTACACACATAAACTGAATGACAAGAATTGAAGGTCTTGATATGCGTAGAAACATTGTCCAACCACAAATAACAAGAAAAGTAACAATTTGGACAATGAAGATGTACCTTTTCACAACAGAACATTAGGATCATATCATCTTTAAGAATCACCACAAGTTACTTTTGCTCAAAGATGGAAATTTAAACATACGGTCAACGTATAAATTAAATGATATGTTATAATTCGTAATGTCTGATTTTATTATTGAATATCCAAGAGTAAATTTACAGTCTCCAAGAATACCAGATTAATTAATAATTAGGACAATACACCTAATCAACTAAGACAACAATAATCCCAAAAGAATTAGAAACTAGAAAGCAGAGGTCAGCTAGTTTAATTAATCCGAGTCCGGGTAATGGTAATAGTCATCAAAATCCAAGTTAGATGATGAAGACGACCCATGATCATCATAATCGCCGTTACTATTATGATCAAAAGCAAGCACATCGTCATCATCAACATCATCATCATCATAATCATCATCAGAATCATAATCAGATATGGAGAAACACAGAAACTCCCAAAGACAGATAAAGAGATGACTAAGAGGGAGGCAACAAGCCACCTCCATAAGCTGTTGGGTATTCAATATCTCCGACGACGGAATCCTCCTCATCCGCTGCCACGTGTCGGTGGATACGTTCGCCACCGTCGCCATCGCCGAGCTGCTAAAAACCATAGCCAACAAATCCTCTCTTTACCTTCTTCTTTACGGAACTCGCTGGTTTATGGTTTTGACTTTTTGACTTTTGTCGTTGACTTTTTAAGTCGTGAAGCTTATGATATCATTTAATTTTTTGGCTCCATGCTTTTTGGGACAATTTATAGAGAGAGCTGATCCGTTGAATGGATCAAATAAGTCTTTTACAAATTACAACAAGGAAAAAGAATTACAAAAAATAAAAGTTTTAGTTAGTTTATGTCTGTAAGACTATAATATAATATACTATTTAAAACAAAAAATTACAAAATAAGGAAAAGGATTAGCCAATAGCCCACAACATTTACATATTTGTCTCTCTAAATGTTTTTTTTCTAAATACTTAACTACATAAAAAAGTCCAGATTTTTTTATAATAACTATTAGATACTTACAAATAAATATTTATTTTGAAATTACTATAAGGAATCATATTTTATATCTATAAGAAATTCATGTTATAATCTATAGTTGTGTTGTTGCCAAAAAGAAAGTTATGTTCTCACTTCTCTTAGAGAAAAGTCAAAAACTGACTGACTTCAATAAAAAAAAAAAAAAAGAAAGAGTAAGAACTAACTTATAAATTTCAGAAAATCAGAAGCCCAAAAATTAAAAAATCGTTAAACAATATTTTAGGGTTTAGGGTTTAGTGTCCAAAAACCAAAAGCCCAAACCCACTTGCATTCTTCTTCTTCCACCTATCCACAGCAGCAAGACTCCGAGAAACAGAGAGATAGAGATGGAGGCACTTAAGGTATGGAGTCTAACGGCGACGCCACTGAAGCAATTACTCCGTCTAACTTCTTCTTCTACACGTCTCGCCACCACAATATATGGAAGAAGATCCTACCACTCATCACCGGCGCTCCGATGTGCCTCCGCAGCTTCTTCTTCTTCTTCCAATGCCACGACTGCTGAAACTTCCAAACCACCCGGCCGCAACCGCCGGTCTGCTTCATCTTCAAATTCCACATCTGATCGTGAAGCTATCCGCTCCATTCGCCTTAAAAAGGTTTGATTTTTACTTTCAAATATATGAGCTTTACTTACAATTTACTCTTGGAAATATGTGAGCTTGGAATTGGGTGCTGATCGATGTTTTTGGTTGATAGGTTGAAGAATTGAGAGGTCAAGGTCTTGAACCTTATGCTTATAAGTGGGAAAAAACCCACAGTGCAAATCAGCTTCAAGAGATATATAAGCATTTAGCTAATGGTGAAGAATCAGACAATGAGAGTGATCGTGTTTCTATAGCTGGTAGAGTCGTTGCTCGTAGAGCCTTTGGGAAACTTGCATTCTTGACTCTCAGGGATGACTCTGGAACTATTCAGGTTTCAATCTTTTTCTACTGTTTAGATCATTAGTAGCTGGCTGTGACATTTCCTTATCGGAAAATTGTTTATTTTCCTTTCTGTTTTCATCTCCTGATCTTTGCAGCTTTACTGTGAGAAGGAGAGGCTTTCAGATGATCAGTTTGAACAGTTGAAGGCATTCATTGATATTGGTGATATTTTGGGTGCTAGTGGCTCGATGAAGAGGACTGAGAAAGGTGAACTTGAATAAGATGATTAAACTCGATGAAGAAGCATTTATTTTTGGTTTGTTTACTTACTGTTTGGTCTCTGAACTTTCCAGGGGAGCTTTCTATATGTGTGAATTCTTTTTCAATTCTCACAAAGTCTCTCCTTCCACTGCCAGACAAATATCATGGTCTAACTGATATTGATAAACGTTACCGCCAACGGTGAGCTGTCTTCTGTCTATGTAAAGCTGCTGTTCTAATTCTTAAAGAAAGCTCATAAGTTTCATTTGTGTTCCACTTACTGTGGTTCTTACCAGGTATGTTGATATGATTGCTAATCCTGAAGTGGCTGATGTGTTCCGGAGAAGGGCAAAGGTAGGTTATCAAAACTTCAAACTCCCATTTGAGCATTTTGTTTCTTTTGTGCATGATCCCTAAACAAAATGCTTGTTAGAGTTAGAGTTATATCTTTCAGTGACACTCATATAAGATTGTGAGAGTTATTTTGATTCACAAATCAACAATGCTTTTCTTCTGTTTTGTTGTAGTAGATCGTTTCAGAGATACGCAAGACAGTTGAGTCTTTTGGATATTTGGAGGTTGAAACTCCAGTTCTTCAGGTTTATAGCCACCTTCATTCTCAAACAGCCACTTAATATTGAAGTCTTGTATGGGAGTCGGTTTCATGAACTTGTGAAAACTAGGGAGCAGCTGGTGGAGCCGAAGCAAGACCTTTTGTAACGTTTCATAATTCACTTGGGAGGGATCTCTACCTGAGGATTGCAACTGAGCTTCACTTGAAGAGAATGCTGGTGAGAAACATCTTCTATTCATAATCTCTTGGTGTTTCTGTCGTTCTTCTTGTCTTTCTTTTGGCTGGGAAATTACCTCTACCTTAGATGTGTATTGAAAGGTAAATGTTTTCTCTGAATAGAATTCACTTTGTTATCACAGGTTGGTGGGTTTGAGAAAGTGTATGAAATTGGTCGTATATTTAGAAATGAAGGCCTTTCAACACGTCACAATCCTGAATTCACGACCATCGAGGTAGTTCAAGATTTGCCTCTCCTCAATCATCTGCATCACTTGGGCTTCCATACTCTTTAATGGTTCCCTGATCTATAACAGTTTTAGCTTTGTTTAGATGTATGAAGCTTATTCGGACTACCAGAGCATGATGGACATGGCAGAATTAATCGTCACTCAATGTGCAATGGCAGTTAATGGGAAGCTAACACTTGATTACCAGGTGAATATGCTCTGGCATTACAGCTAGTGTGTGAAGATAAACTCATCTATATTCTATGTGGGTTGTGAATTTTTTGAGAGATTTGAGTTGTGATTGCTCTGTGCAGGGAACAGAAATCTGCCTCGAGCGGCCTTGGAGGAGAGAAACCATGCATAATCTCGTTAAAGAGATAACAGGAATCAATTTTAGTGAGTTGGGGGAAGATCTCGGAAATGCCAAAGACACAGTTCTGCTGGCACTCCGAGACGTGCTTGAGCCCAAGGACAAATCTGGAATTGGAGCTTGCTCTTCCCTAGGCCATCTGCTTAATGAGGTGAAGCTTCTTTGGTTGACACTTTACTAAATCTGTGAATTTATGTGCTGAAATCTATTCGTGTTTTCAGGTTTTTGAAGTTTTTGTAGAGCCAAAGCTTGTGCAGCCTACATTTGTCTTGGACTACCCAGTCGAAATATCTCCTTTGGCCAAGCCACATCGCAGGTAAAGTTGTTTCTAGAACTCTGTTTCCTTAGCATTGACTCGATTTTTACCTTTTCCCCCAAAACTGTCACCATCTTCTAGATCATACATCTTATGTTATGAAAACTTTTCAAAGTGTAAATAGCGTTTGTTTTTTTCTGCAACAGCAATGCAGCTTTGACTGAAAGATTTGAGCTGTTTATCTGTGGCCGTGAAATGGCAAACGCATTCTCTGAATTGACTGATCCCGTGGACCAGGTAATTAGTTAATGAAGCCTTCCATATTCCTGCAATTTTGTGTCTTCTTGGATAACATTCTACATAGTGAACGATCTGCTTCTTAGTTCTCCTTGTGTACACTGGATCATAAAAGTTTAGTGATTTGTTTAAAATATGGTAGAGGACGCGGTTGGAAGAGCAAGTAAGGCAACATAACGCGAAGAGAGCAGAGGCTGCACCGGAATCTCCTGAACCAAACGCAAAGAAAGATGATGATGATGAGTCATACGAGGTGACCCTTGACGAAGACTTTCTCACTGCCCTGGAATATGGAATGCCTCCGGCTTCGGGAATGGTACTTGTGTCTATTTTCTTTCTTCTATACAATTAGAGTAAATAGTATAACGTTAGTTAATGTTTGCACACTCAAGTCTATAACATGACCGGACTATGCTCAAGTACTTATATTGGCTCACTGTCATTGTTTCTCTTAGGGGCTTGGAATTGACAGGCTGGTGATGCTGTTGACAAACTCCGCGAGTATAAGAGACGTCATTGCTTTTCCTGTTCTGAAAGTCCAGCAGTAACTCTTAATCATGCCAAAAGTGGTAATGCATGTTGTAGCTTTTATAGCATTCTTGTGTATCTTTCTTTATTGGTGATTTCTCCAGCAGGAAGTTGGAGTAAGGATGTGTAACAGACGTAGTTAGACAGCAAAACAAGAAAAAATTATTTTATTCTTGATGAGTGCCTAAAACAGAACCAGATAGAGATACTATACTACTACACACAAATAAAGTTGGATCATTCATTAGGCCAATGTTGCAATCCCATATATTAATCAAGCCATGGCTTTTGGGTCTAATTATGACCCTAATAATTAATCCTAATCAGAGGTACCTTTTTCTTCATGTGTGGTTATGAACTTATGATTCAATTCTTTGGGGAAAATAGAAAGAAAGTAAACAAAGATCCTAAAACTAATTAACTACTGCAACAGCTGAAACATCATAATCATTCCCTGGCTGGTTGATTTGAAGTTGCACTAAACTTGGAACATAAGAAGAGAATTGTGGGTGACATTTTAGGAGACCCGGAACATCTTCAAGAGTCACAGATTTTATATATCCATCTTCTCCAATGACGTGAGCTTCTTTGGTAGTTACTAGCCTTCTTGTACCATCTACTGAAAACCACAACAACCTTCTCCTCCTCGTCAATGAAGAAGCTCCCAGCTTTAAAGTCAACAGGAAAACCAACAAGCGTTGTGATATTAACGTTCAAAAACTTGCTCCATGATACCGCACTGGGATCAATCTTATTCGTAACCCAAATCTCCATTGACTCAGATATCTCACTGCTTTGATGTAACGCAGCGAGCTTCTCTTCTCTGACACAAGATAGAGTCACAAGCCCAGGATAAGAGTAAAAAGGCAAAGAAAGACGCGGTCCAAATCTCTCTGCTGTAAAATTAAAACAGAGTAAAAAACGTTCAATCTTTGTTTCTGACTCACGCCCCCTTTGAGCCAAAATGTAAGTATTTCCTTTCAAAGACACACATATAAACAAAGATCGATCCTTATAAATGATATATATAGTTCAAATGCAATCACCTTTTGCGGTTAAGTATCGGATTCAGACCTTAAAACTATGGTATTTCAAGCATGCAGATATATGTGTTAGCCACATGTTCAAGGTACTGAAGAAATTAACACTGATTCAGTTTTCTTGTAAAAAAATAAGAAGCTTCACGCTCTCCTCCTCTCTCTAACTTTTGCTGATTTTCTAATTGATTCTGTTGGCGACACAACTTGATCTCCTGTTGTTTAGGTTAGGGACAAAGCTAACAACAAAAAGAACTTTAAAGCATTACTTTCCATTAAATGCTTCGAATGTTGTTTAAGAAAATTATACTATGATATTTGTTTTTTTTTTTAAGTTGGAAAAGGACAAGCTAACGCCAGATTTTAGAAACTTTAAACATTTTCTTATATATACAAAGGATTTATAGTCTCTTTTTTTGGAGTGGAAATAATGTTTGTGGGTTTTAGCTTTAGATGTCGATGAGGTAACTTGTGGAATGTATCCGACCAATTATAAATGATTGACGATGCATACACAATAATAAGCAAATCTCACACATGTGTGAGACAAGGTGTATGTCTTTTGAGTTTGATTGATCTCGAAATATTTATGTCAGAACTCAGAAGCATCCTATGTGGCATCATTATTGGCACACGCATTATATGCATTTACATACCTATGTGTATGTATATATGCATTTGAGATTTGCAGAAACTTGGTGGATCTAATAGATACATCATACATAATGTCAGTATTAGATCATATCTGGATTTGTCAACTGAACAAAATATATAGAAACTATTAATTTTTGATAAATACTAACCTTCACGTGGAAACTTCGTGTGACTTATTCCATTAACATTAATCATTTAGATTTGCTTTGAGTTATCCAATTAAATATTAAGATTTGCAAGAGTATTGCTCATACTCATACATATATGTTCTCTACACACAATGCATAATTCTAAATAAAAGGTAGTTTAATCCTATAATTAGATGATTTTCGAACAAAATTTGTAGGTTAATGGTTTGTACTTTTGTCGCAGTATATCATAACCGAGTTTAACCTTGAAAACATGTGTTAGTGGTAGACATAAAAGTAAAGCTTTTAGTGTATAATCAGAATTTTAAAAAGAAATTAACAAATGAACTTTATAAAACTAGAAAATTTACAATGTAGTTACACTACAGTAACTAGATTTTAACCCGCGGTACACCGCGGGATGATTTATTTTTTAAAGTTAGTATAAATATAAAATTTTATAAATTGTATCTCCTTATAAAATATTTATGTTTTATAGTTTATAATTATTATCAAGTAACGGTATATCACGAGTTCACGGAACAATAATAAACTGAGAATTTAACTCGTATTAAAGCGCATGTTAATGATATTTTAAAATTTTATAAATATTGATTCAAACCCGTTCGCCATATAAATCCGTTCCGAAATATATATAACCCATCCCATAATTTCTTAACCCGTCCCGTTATTTGTTTTCTAAAAGTAGTGATTTTAAAATTTAATGATTTTCTATTATATATAAAGTTTATAAATTGTATCATTCTCTAGGACATTTATATTTTAATAAACTAAAGATTGAATCTGTATTAAAGCGACATGTTAATAATATTTTAAAATTTTATAAATATTGATTCAAACTCGTCCACCATATAGCCCATCCTGTAATTTCTTAACCCGTCCCGTAATTTGTTTTCTAATATTAGTAAATTTTAAAAATTTAACGAATATTTATTATAGATAAAAGTTTGTAAATTGTATCATTTTCAAAGATATTTATATTTTATAGTTTACAATTGTTATTAAGTAACGTTATACCACGGGACAGTTTTTGATTTTATACAATATTTTCTAAATGAGACTGATTTGATATGTCTAATATTGGTGGTATTAAAAAAAAAATTAAGGATTTAATCCGTATTGAAGCGGCGGATTAGTGATATTTAATCTTTTTATTATTGTTGATTCAAAAACCCGTCCCGCCAAACCCGTCCGGCCAAAAAACTCATTTATTTTATTAATGTTGATCTTATTTATAATATGATTCTGAATCATTGTTTAAATATTTTAATCGATGTAGAACGTTGAACACACATTTTCGTCAATTGGATAATATATGTCCGTTTTTAAAATTTCGAATCACAGTATATGCAGAAAAAAAAAATTGATTTTTTAATTACTTTATGTATTATATGATGATTCAAAACAGTTAAAAAACAAATCAAACAAAGATGATAGGAGAATCATAATTCTAAATCTTAATCAAATCTTCTAAATATCTAAATTATTAAATATGGAATATCCGGTGCAATATATGGGTTTTATTTAACCCGATCCAAGTTTTTTTTTGTGAAGGAATTTTTAAAACGGGTCGGGTATCCGATATATCCGGAAGTATTTTTACCCACCCGTCACCAAAGTGTTGCAAAAATACTAGTATAGATGAACTAAAAAAAAATCAAAGTAGTAAATAACAAAATATATACGCTAATAGGAATTTTCTAAACAGAATTAATCATAATGATAACCAAAAAAAAAGATTTACAAAATATATATTTTCTTCTCAATAATTATCAAACAGATAAAAAATATAAGAAAATAAAAATATTTGATATCCGAACAACAAACAGAATCCAATATATAAGATTCAGCGAGGGAACAGTTACCTAATTAGTTAAAAAAGACTTCACCTTTAGAGGCACTGAAAAAGCAAAATTCGAGGACTAACTACTTTATCTTCTTCTCAGAGAAAAAAAGCAAAAGCTTTATAAATTCTTAAAAACTCGGTCAGTCACTCTTTGTCTCTCACACAACACAAAATCATAAAAGTAAATGCCTTTTTCTCAATTTCTTTTTATCTTTTATGGCCATGGCTGATTGTTCTCAATTGTGGAATCTGTTCTTTCTCAATTAGTATAATTAGCATTGCGTGGTCCCTGTACTTTTGTCTGCTTCTTCATCTGATCAACGCTTAATTTATGGTCTTTGGATTCTATCCAAGTGTGATATTATATATTGTGGTTATTAACTCTTCCTCAAAAACCCTTTGTTGCTCTTTTGTTTGTTTCAGAAATCCAGAAATCGAACTCTTCTTTTGTTGCTCCAAGTTTCTATTTTTCCAATCTGGGCATATCAATGGGAACAAAAAGGTTGTAACTTTGTTAAGACAAAAAGAGGGAAAGTTTGGAATTTGATGATCGGGTGTTTTAAAGACCCAACATATGTTTTGATGAGGGTTTTGCTGTGTAAGATCCAGTGCCCTTCTTTTATCTGTTTTTGTAAGCCTTCTCCTCATATCTACGCATCTGGTTCTCTCAAATTGGAGAACACCCCTCCTCAAGTGTCTTCTTCGACTACGGTTGTTGATGATCATGATGATGATGATGATGATGCTCATGTAGAAGAAGAAGAAGAAGAAGTTGTTGTTGATCATGTTGATGGTTTGTTGACTGAGGTTGTTAGAGAAGAAGATTGTGCTCTAGAGGAAAAAAAGGAAGAAGAGGAAAGAAGTCTTAGTAATGGGAAAATCTTGAAAAGCAGTCTCAAAAAGGAGGTCTTAGATTCAGCAGATGGTGGCAGAAAGGAGCAGAAGAAGGTACAGTGGGTGGATTTGATGGGGAAAGAACTTGCTGAGATCCGAGAATTCGAGTCTAGGTACTGTCTTCTATCGCTTTTTCGTCTTTCAATTGGTGAACCTGGTGACAATTGTTGCAGAATCTTTGGTTTCTTGATATGAAGATTGTATCTTTTATCGATTCAAGCTTCCAAAAAGAATTAGTTTATTGGCATTTATCTGAATCCTTGTTATATTTGCAGTGAAGAAGATGATGTCAGATATGATGGCGATCAAAGCTGTGTTTGTGTTATTCTGTGATCAATTCGGCTTAGTTTTACCCGAAGTTATGGCAATGGTGAAAGGTGAAGAAGCTTGCTTGAGAATTGGCTCTGTTCAGCTTGTGGCTTTGGATTTAGAATCCATCTACATTGAGGTACATATAGTAGAATCTACATTTGCTCACCTGAGGTTATATGACGATTGTCGATTCAGTGTTTACGGTTTTAGAATTGTTAAAAGGATTGCTTTATATTACACTTGTTTCTTTAACCAGTTAATGAAGTTCTTTCTTAATCAGATTCAAGAAGCTTTTAAATTTAAAGTCACTTTGCGCATTATATCTAAGTTCCCTCAGCTTTAGCATACATAGTAGTTATCTTCACCATATACTGGAACTTAGAACATATGTATTTAGAACTGCTCGCCATGATATTTGCTCGTTCATAGTGTTCACCTGACCAGCCGGTTAATAACCGAGATCCAGCACCGTGAATTGTTCTAACCTTGCAAAGGATTGCACATAAGATCCAAGCTTTGTTAGGATGTTGTCTGAGATACTGTTCTTTTAAAATGTTTCCACGTCCCTGGATTTTGGGAATAGATCGAATAGTATGAGTTTGCAAATAGAAACGACATAATTCGGTCCATAAGATGGTATTATTAAGAACACTGAAGACTTTGAAGAAACTGACAATTTATTCAAAACGATTTCAAATATGATATCAAGTGAACACATTCTTCTCTGATTCAAAAATCATTACACTCGCACAGAAAATTTGTTTGCAAGCTAAAGGAATCCGTATCCCAGTGAGCTACTCTCGCTTCAGAATTTTTTGCCTATCTCTCAGCTTTACGAGCAAATCCGGTTAGTATCCATATCCTGAAACAAGACAGTCGAGAGATTCAGTGATGAAGAAACATGAGTTTCGTTTTAATGTCACTGTCCAGTTTTTATGAATCAGAATGTCTGGACTAACCTGAGTTGTCCATTGGGTTGCCGGCAGGAACTGGCTCTGGCTCTGGGATCTCAACAACCACACAGTCAGACATCAAGAACGTCTTTGCAACTGAGGCTGCATGTTCCAAGCAACATCTCACAACCTGAATAAAAAAATCCACTCAGGTTCATTGGATCTTTTGTAATCAGATGGGATAGCAAAACAGAGTGAGGGAATGTATAAGAGAAACTGACCTTTGTCGGGTCGATGATGCCTGCAGCCATCAGATCTTCATACTTGCCGGTTGCAGCATTGTATCCAAATTTCACATTATCGTTAGCTAGCACCTGCAATGAATAAAAACAGCTTTTTAAGCAACTTACTTAGATCAAGAGCTGAATAAGCATGGAGGTTTTTATGTTGTGTTATAACCTTCTCGCTGACAACACTTCCATTGACACCAGCATTCTTAGCTATCAATTTCAGAGGGTAACTCAGTGCTCTTTTAACAATTTCCGCTCCAACCTACAGACGGGAAATAGTTGAATATGCAGTAAGAACAAAGCCATTTGCAAAAATCTCCAAAAGTCTTGATTTTGCCAATTACCTTTTCTTCATCATTTTCAAGGGTATCCTTGATGGCATCGACCTTGGATGCAAGCCGGAGTAGAGTGCAACCACCACCAACGACAATACCTTCCTCAACAGCAGCCTGTAACTCAATGAGGTCATATAATTAAGATATACATACACTCCTCTATAACCCCATCAGCTGGATAAAGAAAATCACCTTTGTAGCATTAAGAGCATCTTCCACTCTCAGCTTCTTTTCTTTGAGCTCTGTCTCAGTTTGAGCTCCAACCTTTAACCAAGATGTAAGAACATTAATTAGTACCACTTCACTTATTCTTCTGTCATACAAACCCAAGAAAGCCCCTGTGATTATTACTATTTACCTGAATTACAGCAACTCCACCAGAGAGTTTCGCGATTCTCTCATTTAATTTCTCCTTCTCGTAATCTTGCTCCGCTTGCTGCACAACCACATTTGTGTTAGCATAAAACAAGCTTATAAAAAAAAAGTAGCTAACACAGACTCTTATGCGGTTTGACTCAAACATATACCTCAATAAGATTCCTAATCTGTACAACACGCTTGTTTACTGCTTCCTGTGTGCTCCCATCACCCACAATTGTTGTCATTTCCTTTGTCAGGACAACCTTAGAAGCGTTACCCAGAACCTCTTTTCCAGCTTTGTCAAGAGAAAGACCAACTTCCTCTCTAATCACAGTTCCTGCACACACAAACAAAAGCAACACGACAAGATTTTAACAACAAAATGATTCCAAATCAGGAAGGCACATCGATTGATACCCACATATAGGTTTTTGTTATAAAAACATGACCTACCTCCAGTTAGAATGGCAATATCGTCAAGGTATTGGCTCTTGCGCTCTCCAAATCCAGGAGCTTTGAGAGCTGCAATCTTCAATGTGCCTCTAAGTTTGTTAACAACAAGAGTAGCTAAAGCTTCTTGTTCAATATCTTCTGCAATTATTAGGATTGGGTATCCGCCTCTAATTGCATCCTCGAGAACACCAACAAGATCCCTTGCATTGGTAATTTTTTTGTCAACAAGAAGTAACTGCAAAGTAGAAAACTTGTTAGGTTATCTACAACAGTATCATACTGGTAGCTCCGAACCAAGAAAATTTACCTTGCAATTGTCGTACTCTACAGACATTTTTTCACTGTCTGTCACAAAGTATGGGGAGATATAACCACGGTCAAATTGCATTCCTTCCACAACGTAAAGGTTGTTCTCAGCGCTTTTACCCTCCTCAAGGGTCACCACACCCTTCCTGCCCACTTTGCTCATTGCTTCAGCAATCATACTTCCAACTTCATGGTTATTACCCGCACTAACAGCTGCCACATCAGCGAGTTCACTGTCTTCAACCTATATTTCCAACGACATAACCATTAGACCCTCTTGCTATAGACTTTTAACACATTAAGAAGGGGATTTTAAGCAAAATCATTACTCACCTCCTTAGACATTAGTTTCAGCTCGTTAACCAAAGCTTTAGCTGTCTTCTCAATGCCTCTAGTGATCAATACAGGGTTTGCACCTGCAGCCACCACCTAAAAATACAATTTAAAATTAGTATACTGTTCTTCCGAGTTTTAAACAGAGAAAGCTGAAGAAGAATGAACCAACCTTGACACCCTCAGCAATAAAACCTTGTGCAAGAACAACAGATGTTGTTGTACCATCACCAGCCAAGTCATTTGTCTTTGCAGCTGCTTGCCTTACAAGCTTTGCACCAATGTTCTCAACCGGGTCTTCCAACTCGACCTAACCAGAAGAAAACTTTAAGGTTAGAGAAGCAATTTAAAACGAAAGGAACCTAATTGTCAAACAAACAATAATTTCATACCTCCCTAGCAACAGTGACACCATCATTAACAATTCTTGGGGATCCATATTTGCTCTCAAGAACAACATTTCTCCCTTTTGGTCCAAGTGTGACACCAACAAGGTCAGCGAGCTTGTTAACACCAGTCTATTAACAAAAGAGTAATCAGAAACAAAAAAAAAAAAAAACAAATCCTAATCATTTTTACTGCGGAGAAACAAATTCTCACTTGAAGTTTCCTAATGGTAGTGCCATCCTTGTTGAAATGCAACTCCTTGGCTGCACATACAATGGCAGGACGGGATCTTCTTAGGCACACATTATGTCTCCTTCCAAACGAGCTTGAAGAAGACAACTTGATAGCATTCGGAGCAAGCAAGGAACCAAGGGAAGACGTGGCAGTGAATGTTGATGCCATTTTTCACTTGTCACACTGAAAAATCAATCCAACAGTCACATAAACAATTACAACGAAAGATTCACCAAACGTTACTAACCAATTAAAACTGGCAACAAAACAGATGAAAGAGGCGACGCAATTTCAAAATCAGAGCTCACTCCCAGATACTCATAAGCCGTAATTAAACTAATAACCCAAATCTCCAGGAACACGAAAACGAGGTAAAATACTATTTTCCCAAGCTACTCGTTTATGGAAAAGTGGCACTCACCGGACGGCGGAACGACGGAGAAGCGGAGAGAGATGGCGCCGGAGAGGTTTATTCCGGATAAGGAAGAAGAAGTAGGTGACGAAATGAAGAATGCACTTGCTACTAGTTGCTCTGGTTTATTTTTTTTCTGAATATAAAGGCGATATGAGCCTTTAGCTCTTGAAACTTCGAGCTAATCTTAACCGTTGGATGTACTCTGCATTGTTTTCTCATCAGAACACTCTAGAACGTCAGATGGGTAATCGGATCTTGGGTTTATTTCCGGGTTATGTTCTGGTTCGGCCTTGTTTGGTCATTAGGGCCTGTTTATCAATACTTGATCAAATAGGCCCATTATAGTTATAATAATTGTTTTTTTTTAAGCTAAGGTAAGTATTTTTTTTCTTCCTTAAGGTAAAGTATATTAATATTATTTGTTCAGTAGCTGTTCTTGGTAAGTTCCTCTAAAAAAATATTTAACCTTTTTATCTTAATGATTTACTTTTAGGTTTTAAATAGTTGCTCAAAACAAAAAAGTTGAATATTTTTTTTTATATTTAATAGTGGGGAGATTTTATAGAAGAAACACACCATGAATGGAAAGTATGCCTTATTTTGCCTTTAAATTTGACCAATTTTACTTTTGAATTATATTTTGGTAAGATTTTTATCTATTTTATTACAAGATTACCAAATTTTTTAAAAATGGAAAAATATATTATCCTGAATAGAGATTTTCGTGGAAAAATAACCAAAACCACACGGTCTATAATAGTCTTTATAACAAAAGAGGAAATATCTTAAGGTGGAAGAAAAAAAGAAAAGAAAAAAAAGAAAGAGGTGAGGTGGTTGATTCGTGGATCTATTTGAATCAGAGGGAGAGGTAGAGAGACAAAACCCTTTTTTTCCTCTTCCCCGAAGCAAAACCCTTCCTTCTCCTTCTTGGCGGCTGCGGCCATTTTCTTCTTCTTCTCTCTTCTATCTCTTAAACCCTAGATTCGATCTGGGTTTTTCCTGATTCCGTTTAGGGTTTCACTATCTTCTTTTTTTCTTCTTCTTCTTCTTCTCTCTTTCTCTCTTTTTGGTCGCATCCCCTTTTATCCGAGAAGGATCTATCCAATCTTTGTTTGTCGAATCTCCTCTCATGGCTACCGTTGCTCCTCCTGCTGATCGTATCCTTTCTTTATGTTTCTCGATCTGTGTTTTTTATTTCTCGATCTCTTCTTTTCTCGCTTTGTTTCTCTTGGATCTTGAATCCAGTGAGTGAGGTGATTGAGTTTTCTTCAGATTTATTTGATATCACCAATATATTTCTGGATTGTTAGGTTTCTATATTGATTAAAATCGTTTCTTTTGTGCCGGGTATGATTGATTTGATAAATTTTCTGTGTTAAAGATTTGTGCTTTCCACTATTCTAATGGTTAATTCTACGTTCGCACACAAAGGTCTTTGCTTCCTTGACTCACTTGTTTGTAGAAGCTGCAGATCTGTTGCAGAAACTATCCTTGGACTCGCAAGCAAAAGCTTCAGAGATCCCTGAGCCTAACAAGAAGGTGATTTGAAGATTTAATTTTGGTTTTCTGTTGCTCGCAACTTTTGCTTCTTCCACTTTTTTAACAAGAAGAGTTCTTTTGTTATTTTTCTTGTGCAGACTGCCGTCTATCAATATGGAGGCGTGGATGTTCATGGTCAAGTTCCTTCTTATGATCGATCTTTGACACCAATGCTTCCCAGTGATGCCGCTGACCCTTCAGTTTGCTATGTTCCTACTCCCTACAATCCCTACCAGTATTACAATGGTAGCTTCATCCTCAAATCATCTACAATCTAGCAACATCATTTCACTAAATTGTCACCAATGCTTAACAAGTTTCTCGCTTTGTAACTTTTCAGCATATGGGAGTGGTCAAGATTGGACTGACTACGCAGCTTACACCAATCCTGAGGGTGTTGACATGAATTCTGTAAGTGTGTGCTGACTAGTTAGTTCTCATGGTGCCTTTCATCTTCTTTACATTTTCTTTCTCTGCTTAACAGGTTCAATATTTTTACAGGGAATTTATGGAGAGAATGGAACTGTTGTGTATCCTCAGGGTTATGGGTATGCAACATATCCTTACTCGCCAGCGACAAGCCCTGCTCCACAGCTTGGCGGGGAAGGGCAGTTGTATGGTGCTCAGCAGTATCAGTATCCTAGCTATTTTCCAAACAGTGGACCGTATGCTTCATCTGTGGCTACTCCTAACCAGGCGGATCTCTCTGCCAACAAAGCTGCTGGTGTGAAGACACTAACTGCGGATAGCAATAATGTTACTTCTGCTACTGGTATCACAAAAGGAAGTAATGGATCAGCTCCAGTGAAACCAACTAACCAGACTACACTTAACACCTCAAGTAATTTGTATGGTATGGGTGCTCCAGGAGGAGGTTTCGCTGCTGGTTATCAGGAGCCTAGGTATGGCTATGATGGGTATTATGCTCCTGTGCCGTGGCATGATGGTTCTAAGTACTCAGATGTGCAGAGACCTGTTTCTGGTAGTGGAGTTGCATCCTCCTATTCTAAGTCTAGCACTGTGCCTTCATCGAGGAATCAAAACTACCGCTCTAATTCTCATTACACGGTATGGTGTCTTTCTATGCTTCTTAATGAACACGATTTTCTGCTTTATTGGCATATACTTTGTCGCTCAAGTCTTCCAATATTGTCAACTGACCTCAATCAATTTTTTTTCTTTGCAGAGCATGCACCAGCCTGCATCAGTGACGGGCTATGGTACAGCTCAGGGATACTACAACAGGATGTATCAAAACAAGTTGTATGGTCAGTATGGTAGTACAGGGAGATCTGCTTTGGGTTATGGTTCTTCTGGGTATGATTCAAGAACCAATGGAAGAGGATGGGTGGCCACAGACAACAAATACAGAAGCTGGGGAAGGGGTAACAGTTACTATTACGGAAATGAGAACAATGTAGATGGTTTGAATGAACTTAACAGGGGACCTAGAGCTAAGGGCACAAAGAACCAGAAGGGAAATCTAGATGATAGCTTAGAGGTTAAGGAGCAGACTGGAGAATCAAATGTAACCGAGGTTGGGGAGGCGGATAACACATGTGTTGTTCCTGACAGAGAACAGTACAATAAAGAAGATTTCCCAGTGGATTATGCAAATGCCATGTTCTTTATCATCAAGTCGTACAGTGAAGATGATGTGCATAAGAGCATTAAATATAATGTTTGGGCTAGCACACCAAATGGAAACAAGAAGCTTGCTGCAGCATATCAGGAAGCTCAACAGAAAGCTGGGGGCTGTCCCATCTTTCTCTTTTTCTCGGTGTGTATATAATCCTGAAACTAAAAGCTGTGCTCTTTTTACTTTGCTTTATGATATTGTTCTTTATACTCCAGTTTTTGTCTTTCAGGTCAATGCAAGTGGACAATTTGTTGGTCTTGCTGAAATGACAGGACCAGTTGATTTCAACACAAATGTGGAGTACTGGCAGCAAGATAAGTGGACTGGCTCTTTCCCCCTCAAGTGGCATATTGTGAAGGATGTTCCAAACAGTTTGCTGAAACATATTACCCTTGAGAACAATGAGAACAAACCTGTTACCAACAGCAGAGACACACAAGAGGTAGATATTGTTGACATATCTTGTAGGCTGGTTTTACTGATTTTCCCCCGAGTGTTTTTTTTTTTTTTGTGCCTAAGTTTTCTTTTTGGATCATGTTAGGTTAAGTTGGAGCAAGGACTGAAGATTGTTAAAATTTTCAAGGAGCATAGCAGTAAGACTTGCATTTTGGATGATTTCTCATTCTACGAGGTTCGACAGAAGACTATCTTGGAGAAGAAAGCCAAGCAAACACAGAAACAGGCAAGAACTTTTAAAAAATTCAGAAATCGTTTCATTCAGTATGTATATATAACTTAAGTGTTTCTAATGCATTAAATCTTAACAGGTAAGTGAAGAGAAGATAACCGATGAAAAAAAAGAATCTGCAACTGCGGATTCAGTGAGCAAGGAATCTCCTTCAGCTGTTCAAACTTCCAGTGATGTCAAGGTTGCTGAGAATGGGTCGGTTGCTAAACCAGTTACAGGCGATGTGGTGGCATGCTAGCTTAGAGGATGGGTCGCTCACGGCATGAGCATAAAACGGACAAGAGATGAAGATATGAACAATCCCGTTTACAGTTTCTCTTGAGAAGAAGACAGCCGTGAGCCTTGAAGCATGGAAGGAGTACCTGAGACGGATCCGTTTCTTTGCCCTTAGAAGTTTTAAATCCCAGCTATTTTTTTTTCAATCATTTCTTGTTTTCATTTTTCCTTTTCTTTAAAATCGCAGTGTCGTTACAAGTTTATGTTGGTTTTTTTTTTCCTTTTCAATTTTCATTTTCTGTTGATCCTACCCTGTAAAAAAGCGCATAGGACCTACTAATTAGTGGGAAGAATTAGAGAAAAGGAGATAAAAGCAGGGTGGGATTTTGTTTTTCAATTTCTGTTGGATTTATAGGCAGAGTTTTTTCAGTGTTCCTTTCTTTTGTTTCTTGTTTTGGTTTCGGACTTGACTCTGTTCAGTCCTTTAGAATTTAAGATGGTCTTTTCTTTTGCCTCTCTCCGTCTTTTTTTGTTTGTGTCATTCTCCAAACTTATCTGAATCAATCCATGTTTAAGATTTTCAAAATAAGGAGATAAGTATTGTTGATTTTTTGGGTAACAAAACAAACCAATTTTGATCTCATAATCTAGTTGTTGTCACTTGTCACCAATAATTGTCAAAGATGACGAGAACCTAACTTTAGCCATGTATATGTCGTTTTGAGTTTTGATCTATAAAGCTACATGCCAAAAATTGCTGATGTGGTAAAATAATTAATGAAGCTGATCAAATAAGTACCTGTTGTCTGATCTGACGTGGCTAGATAGCTTCTCCAACGCTTTATCTCGGAAACTCCGTGATCAAAATTGAGACATGCCTCTGTTACTTTTTCAAAAGATAGTACTTTCATGCCTGTTTTGTTTCAGCCAAATATCAAATTTGTTAGGGAGTGGGTTGGGTGATTCTTTCCTGAAGAAAATAACTTTTGGGTAAATGGCAGCTCTTGTACGCAGATTCTGCCGGCGATCGTATTTTCCGGTCTCTGGTCATGGATATAGGATGCTGTCGACGATTGAAAATGTAGCTGAAAGTGGTAAATCGATGAATCTGTACTCTGCTATTAATCAAGCTCTTCACATCGCTTTAGAGACCGATCCTCGGTGAGAGTTTCTCGTGTTTTACTCCTAAAATCCATGTTCCTTTGAATTTTGTTTTATAATGAATTTGGAGTCAATTGAGTGAAGGTCTTATGTGTTTGGGGAAGATGTTGGTTTTGGTGGTGTGTTCCGATGTACAACCGGATTAGCTGAACGTTTTGGGAAATCTCGAGTTTTCAACACTCCTCTCTGCGAGCAAGGCATTGTTGGCTTTGGCATTGGTTTAGCTGCTATGGTCACTTCTTCTTCTTTTGTTCTTCTCTTTACCTCTCATCGCTATCACATCAGCTTACTGCTTACTTATTCTCTTACAGGGAAATCGAGTTATTGCGGAAATTCAGTTTGCGGATTATATCTTCCCTGCTTTTGATCAGGTAAAATGTTACCTTTTACCTTTAAACCAAGTTATGACACAAAGAGTTTCTCTTTATGGAGTTTTGTGATTTCGTAGATTGTTAATGAGGCTGCAAAGTTCAGATACCGAAGTGGAAACCAGTTTAACTGTGGAGGTAAAGTCATATCTTCTAGTGTCCTCTTGCTTTTGAGACACCAATTTTTTACTCATTCGGGTGGTTTATGTGGAACTTGTAGGACTTACAATCAGGGCACCGTATGGAGCTGTTGGTCACGGTGGACATTACCACTCACAGTCCCCTGAAGCTTTCTTCTGTCATGTCCCTGGTATCAAAGTACATCTTCTTACTAAAGCTTCTTCTTTCTCTATTTGCTTCATATTCTTAGGTGTATATGATAATTGCATGTTTTGGGTAGGTTGTTATTCCTCGAAGTCCACGGGAAGCTAAGGGATTATTATTGTCATCCATCCGTGATCCGAATCCCGTTGTCTTTTTCGAACCAAAGGTACTACTACTTCTTGAGAGTTATTTTCAATTTCAAGAACCTGTTAAGAGTCTTTGATCCATTGTTCTTTATCAGTGGCTATATCGTCAAGCGGTAGAGGATGTCCCTGAGGATGACTATATGATACCTTTATCTGAGGCAGAGGTATATAGGTTCCATTTCCAGTGTCTCTTCTTAGGAAACGCCGAATCGTACACTTCTAAGACTAACAAAACAATACTTTTGGTCACAGGTTATGCGAGAAGGTTCTGACATAACACTTGTTGGATGGGGAGCACAGCTCACTATCATGGAACAAGCATGTCTTGACGCAGAAAACGTTAGTTTTTTTTTATGTTTTGCACTTGATAAGTCTTTGGTGAATCAGATGATTGAAACACATTGTTTTTGCAGGAAGGAATATCGTGTGAATTGATAGATCTCAAGACTCTGATCCCTTGGGATAAGGAAATCGTTGAGACCTCAGTGAGAAAGACTGGCAGACTTCTTGTAAGTTAAGCTTCTTCGCGTGAGCAGCATTATCCTAACTTTCAGAGAATAAATGTGTTTGCTTGCTTTGGTTGCAGATTAGCCATGAAGCTCCTGTTACAGGAGGCTTTGGGGCCGAGATCGCTGCAACTATAGTTGAGCGTTGCTTCTTGAGGGTAAAAAACACAAGTCATATTTATCTACAACATTATAATTTTTTTGGTAACAAAGTCTGTTTTTCATCTTTTCTTAAATGTCTGGTTACTTTTGCAGTTAGAAGCACCTGTAAGCAGAGTTTGTGGCCTGGACACTCCTTTCCCTCTAGTGTTCGAACCTTTCTACATGCCAACCAAGAACAAGGCAAGTTTTGTCTCTGGTCTTTCTTTACCTCATGTATTATCGTTTTTGTTGCTAATTCTTCCATGGCTCACAATTTGATGCAGATATTGGATGCAATCAAATCAACCGTGAATTACTAGCCCATCTTTTCGCTAATATCTTTCATCGTAAACTAATGAACTAGAGCATTGTACACATTCTCTGATTCTCAGTCTCCTATCTTCGTAATAGTGAGTGATGTTAGTGGTTCAGAGATGTAATGAATCTGTAATCATCACTTTTGGTAATTTAATCTTATGATCGTGAAACTCTCCATCTTTGTTCACAATCTTCACTAGTCTATGCTAAACAAGACTTTAGAAGCTGCGGCTGCACACTGAGTTAAGGTTGTACTTTTAACATATGAGGAAGTATAAGGACACTACAGTAACGTACATGCAAGACATCTTGGAAAAGAGAAAAAGAACCGAAGAATTGTCTTTGGAATCTTCCATTGTGTATATACAATGTTATATTATGAACCAAAACACAAGGTGAGAGTCTAGCTACTGTGAAAGCCTTTGTTCAAGGGCAAAATTCTCAGAAAGCTTTAGCAACTCCAAGGGGCTAAGACCCGCACAACTAGTTTTGCAGGGAACAAATCTGTGACCCTATAAAAGATAAACACAACAATTAGGTTCATGCAAGTATAAATCGAAAAAGCAACCATTACTAAGAGAGATGAGAAAAGTTAAAGGGTGTGTTACATACTATTGCTGTATCTTTCTGAATTCTGTGAGCACGGGGTATATATTCTCAAAGGCTCTGTAGGTCTCCTCTCTCATCTGATAATGAGTGATCTCAGGATTTTTATCAGGTGGCAGAAGAGCTAGAGACTAGAGAGAGACAAAGCAAGAATTTTTCGTTCGATTATCACAAGACATAAAGAGAAAGTGAGATATTACCTTGGCTCCTGTTATTACGATCTTCCCAGAGACAAAGATTAGAAGGACGATTTTAGGCACTTTCATCCTATAAATCAGCCCTGGGAAGAGCTCGGGCTCATACTGGCCACACACCAATATGAGAGAGAGAATGGCCATCAGCACAACGTTTTTATCTCTAAAATTTGGTCCTTAACTCTAACTGTGTGCGTATTGAAGTTCAACATAAGAAGAATCAATGTTTTAAGAGTTCAGATCACTCACACTTGAGAAAGCAGCGTGAGAGTAAGCAAGACCTTCAAGTCTTATAGGGAATTTGACATCACAAGAACCTACGATGTTCTGAATCTTGAAATCCTGCAGGATGTAACGACGAATATATTTAGTACAAATAAAACTACGGAAAAATAATGTCGGATAGGGAAAAGAGTTTGGTAGAAAATGTACCTTGAATTTTGCAGGGAATCCCAATTTCTGCACAATCCTAGCATACTAAACAATAAAACATTTCTTATAAGCATAACACAATGAGGAGCAAATAGCATACCGTGATTCTAGCTAAAGTAAAGAAGAGGAGAAGCAAGTTAAATACACGAGGTGAGAAAAATGAAATCTACCTTTCGGGCAGCCATCTTCGAAAAGTCTTCGCTCTTCGCTCCAGTACAGACCTAATTGGAGATAAGTCACCAAATTCAGAAGTGAATTCAAACCAATGCAATTAAATATCAGAATTATGAAAAAATTATTATTGCCAACCAAGATAACTATACCATTTTCCCTGAGGCGAATATCAATGCTGTAGTCTTCGGTTCTCTGATCCTCATTATAACCGCAGCAAAACGCTGGAAACATAGAATACAAGAGATATTTAAATTAGACAAACTTAGCTATGAAAAATTAGTTTTGCAAAAGCCAACAACTAGATACTATCTTAGATTCTAATTCATCAGTACACAGTAGATAGACCAACCGAGACCTCAGGTAACAATCAGGTCTGGTCCACTCAGGGAGACAAAACATCACTGTATAATGCAATACCTTGGGATTATATTCAGCATTCCGAGCCTGCAAAGCTATGGCTTTAAGATCTAGCTTGCAGTCTAGGTTCACCGTGGAGACAATGTTTCTGAAACAAAACATCAAAGATAAATTATCCACAAGAATCAAACAAACACTAAATCTTAAGAGACAAAAACAAAGACAACGGCACAAAAGAACTCACTGAAGAGTAGGAACAATCCCTGAAGGATGCTTGCTAAGGTCCACTGGATTACTCCCTTCCAATCCTTGATCAGCCATTACTCTAAAAATTACACAAAACCAAAATCCACACATCAAAATAAGACTAAGACAAGACATGGTCAGTCCAAGACCACAAGACAATATACTTAAAAGAGAGCCTCATCATTCAAAAGTTTCAATTATTTGAGAAAATAGAGCCAATTTAGATTCCAAAACAACGACACTTTTCCTCTTTAAGGTATGAAACCCTTCTAGAGGTTAAGAAACGTTACAATCATGTCCGAAAAATTAAACCCAGGAAAGGATTAAAGGTCAGACCTTTGGATAGCGAGGAAATCCGAAATCTAGGGTTTCGTAGCTTTAAGACGATTAGGGAAGATTTGCGGGAAGAATTTGGCGAAAGGAAGCCGAAGAATTGAGAAAAGGAGAAAGCTTTTATACAAAGAATTGAGAATCGAAGAGGGAAAAAGATTTATAAATCGGTGCTTATATAAGGGAGAGAGTGAATTTGTTCTCTCGCTTCTGGTTTTTAGATCTGTCTGTGAGAGAGGTCACCGACTTGCGTCTCGGATTTGGGATCCTTATGACCTTTATACCTATATATAGATACCCATGCTACCCTTGACCGTCTTTGTAAGATCGAGGGTATTTATGGAAAATCAGCGGAAAGTCTACGCTGACGGCTGTCGCTGGGTTTTAATGTGAACGTCCACTCTTTTCCAGCCACGTCATCGTGGTATTATAACGCTTTTTTTTTTCTTTTTATTGGTCATAAGATTAATGAACTTTTAAATCCATGTAGAATTTATAACTTTTCACTGATTTTTCAAATTATAATGTGGAGATGAAAATCAAACAGTTGGATTATATTTTTTATTGTGAAATAAAATTACAAAATTAATTAAATGAGTAAGAGATGATTTTGTATTCAGTGACCTTATATGATTTTGTTTGAATTTTCACATCAGTTAAAATCCACTAATCAATAACCTGACTAAATCAAATCAGTAGACCAACACAACATGATTTTCAAAAAAAAATTAAAACACTAGAGAGTTCTCGGTTAAACAAAGAATGCTTATGACGGTTAAACAAAGAATGCTTATGAGATCAAGCCATCTCTGTAGTATCACCGCCATTGTTTCTCCATAAGTGATGATAGAGATTTCGAAAACTGCGAAACAAACGATGATGATGATGTCTCATTCTCCCGGCTCTCCTCATCCTTGTCTCTCCAGAACTTAAGGATAACGAGATTCTCCTCTTCTGTTGATCTCTGAACCACAATTCTTGACGCGTAACCCTTCTTTCTCATCATCAGACAAATCTCTGCTGGGAAATTCGAAGTTAATGTCACTAAGTAGAACCAACCTTTCTCCGAAAGCAAAAGATCAACCACAGGCAAGATTTTATCGATAACAGTCCGGCCATTTTCCCCTCCAGCCCAAGCAGAGGCAATACCTTCCATTCCAACTTCATATTCCGGTGTTGGCACATAAGGTGGATTCACCACAATCACGTCCACTGAGCCAGCAAGTCTCTTCTCTAGAACCGAAGCTATATCCGTGCAGATGACATCAGCATCGACTCCATGTGCTTGTAGAGTTTCTTTTGTCACTCTTGTAGCTATTGGGTTTGTGTCAGTGGCGAGATAATGAACACCAGGAACTTCGTTTTTAAGAAGAAGTATAAGTGAAGTTATGACATACCCGCTTCCGCATCCAATCTCCATACAAATCTTAGGGTTGTGCTCTATCAGGTTGGTGCGATCAGCGAGTAATGCATCAACTAGTGCAAATGAATCATCACATGGTTCGTAGACCTCACGATGAGAGCTTACAAGACGGATAGCAGCAATTCTTGGTGGCATCTTGTAAATGACTGGACTACTAAACAAACAAACAGAAACCACACAGTAAGCTTGCAGTCTAAATTCACTGTAGAAACAATGTTTCTGAAACATAACATCAAAAATAAGTTATCCACAAGGATCAAACAAACACGAAATCTTAAGAGACAAAGGCACAAAAGAACTCACTGAGGAGTAGGAACAATCCCTGAAGGATGCTTGCTAAGGTCCACAGGATTACTCCCTTCCAATCCTTGATCAGCCATTCGTCTAAAATTACACAAAACCAAAATCCACACAATCAAACTAAGTAAGACTCGGACAAGATAATAGACACTAGACACGGTCCAAGACCACACGAAAAAATGCTTACAAGTTTTAACTAGATAGCTTCATTATGCAAAAGGGTTCATCTTCCAAAATAATGACACTTTTGCTCTAAGCTATAATACTGATAAGATCCAATGGAAAAAAAAATCATCTCAGAAATCATCACAAACCCATCTCAGAAATCATCTACCAAGCAAAATTATGCTACCAAAATTCACACGATCATCAAGATGATTTTATCACAGAACAAAGATACGTTTCAATTTAGTTAACAAGATGTTTTATGTATAATCAAGATCCAAACAGTTTAAGTAAAGCTGATCCAGTTCAATTACAATCCTATAAGGTTAAAAAAGTATAGCAAGAAAACATCAATTGACCAAATCAAAATCATCGTTTGGATAAAGTCTGCAACTTGTGTTTTGTTCTCGACGGTGAGAAAATAAAAAGACATGAAAAGGATTAAAGGTCAGACCTTTGGATAGCGAACAAATCCGAGTTTTGAACACGAAATCTAGGGTTTCGTAGCTTTAATACGATTAGGGAAGATAAAGAATCTGGCTTTTCGTGAAACGCGGAATTGGATAGTCTTCGAAATCTTCAATTTTATTTAACTAGTAGAGAAAAAATCTCAGACGATAGATTTCACGAAGAACCACCGGCTACGGCGGAGGAGAAGAAAGTGGAAACTTGGAATATTGAAATCATGCCTTCAAGTTTCAATAGTTTTCACTTTAGCCCCATAAGTTACAAAAAGAGCATAATGGAATCTTTGAATCTTCCCATGCATCAATTAGATACGAGCATAAGTGTAATGGGCTGATAGCCCCTTGATTAATGATTGAGATATAGCAAATACACTTTTTCTTATTCAAGCTTTGAAGTTTGATCTTGTTCGGATCTTATCTTTTCTTTTCTTTTCTTTTCTTTTTTCTTATAGAAATTGAATGATGGGATCTTATGAAAATATTCACAGCTTCTATTAATCATTGCAACAAATCCAGCCTTTTGCAGGAGGTGAACGGCTGACTTTTACGGTGATCTTCTTTCTTTTGTGAATGTGAATCTTTCTTATACCTTCTTCTTCTTCTTCATTGGCTTGTTACACATCAAAACTAATTATAAACTTCTTTTTAACTCCATATAACAACAATATTAATCAAATTGTAAAGAGACTTACTATTTTTCCGGTATTTGGAAATTGTTATGATGGTCGAATTGCAAAATGTGATGCATAGAAGTAGAAGCAAAGCTACTAGAATGATCTTGAGACTCATTTTTCTCTTTGCCTCTTTCTCCCCGAGTATAAATAATATCTTATAAACTATAAATTAGTGTTAGACTGTTAGGCAGAGATTATATAAATCAGGGTCGTTCTCATTACAGTTGGTGGGATATAAATATATACGTCAATGCATGCAATGAAAACATATTGACTTTTTTAGTCTTGTCTTTTTTCTTTATTATTGCATGAGTTTGAAAAGTCCAATGTTAATAATCATCATTTTGGTGAGAAAGTGAAAAAAAGATCTTATTGTCACTCAATACTCAATTTTAATTAGTATAGTGAACTAAAAAAGAAATTATATATCGAAGTTCCATTAATTCAATTATTCGAAGAGTATCACACATAATGAAACAACTTTACAAATAATCAGAAATCACAAGTTAATACTCCAGATTAGATCGCTAATTAAGATCACTACATGTCATAACTAAGAAATGATCTTCGGTGGACCGCCTCCGTGAGGAGCAGGCCTAGAAAAACTGCCTGTAAAGCCAATCTTCATTCCTTTGTTGATGTGTATATTTCCAAGCCCTTTTCCTATTTTCAAATTCGATAAACCATTATTCAAATTAATGAAATGAATATAGACATACAGACATATATATATATATATATATATATATGTCTAGCTATATATCAACAATTGTATAATTTCTATACTTATGATACATATATGTACACAACAACTAAGTGTTGCTACTTTAGTTATCATTTATTGATCGAAAGCAATTATCAACGAGTTCCACACATCAACGAGTTTTACGTGGCATATGATATGTAGATCCAAGAATTTAATCTGAATATCGCAATCATATAACAAGTATAAAAAGAGATAGGTGATGGTCTGATGGATACTTACTTGTCGTGCGAAGTGGATAAGTTACTTTAGCCAAAGTTGGGTTTGCTGCAATAGACGAGAGGAGAATCCAACCAAATAGCAGAACCAACTTCCAGTTCATCTTTTTTTTGCTGATAATCTTTAGGACTTTGCAAACACTTAATGGGTAGTCGTATAAAGAGAAAAACTTGATGCGGTGGAGTTGTTTATTACACATTTACAACAAATGATGCTTCTCAGAAATAACATTAATTATATAAGAAGATTTAATAAGTTTTGGGACTTTGTTTTATCGATGAAGTTGCTTGAGATTGTTTAGTTTAATAAGGTCAAATTAGAGACAGGGTGTCATGTTTATTGTTTAATATGAAAAGCATAATCTTTTTCTCCAAATTTGTTATTTTAAAAACACAGACTTGTAACTTGCAAATGCCATGCGTACCATAGTAAAAAAATATGGATTATTGTATAACAAGAATTATAATTCATAATGTTTGTTCGGACAGAAGATCAAAACGTATGAGTTTATTTTATAGAAAACAAGTTGACGAACAAAGGAATTTTGCGTCATTGGATGTTCACGCTAAGAATTAAACATCGGATAAGCAAAATTTTGGCGTCATAATCGACCTCAATAACTACAAATATAATTGAGTTATCTGACGATATAAAAACACCCAAATTTTGATCATCTTCTCGTCCTAACCCCCCAAGTCTATCAGATCAAAAACTCTCTTATAAAGCCTAGAAATTGAGGAAATTTTGTTTCTAACCCGTTTAAAATTGTATGCTTTAACTTTAGCTGTTTTTCTAAATATAAAACGGCACCAACATATATATGATGTGTCATTTCATTCTAATCAAAAGGACGGTTATCATTATTTGCATTCAAATCTGTATGAGAAAAAAAAAAACGATAGCGTTTTCACTTTTACCAAGTAGTAAACGGAGTTACAGTCAGAAATTACTTACTTCAGAACTATTATTTGTAGCTCATTTATGAAAGAATCTATTAAATACATATTTTATTTTGTTGATTCCGTGTTTTTTCTTTTTGTTACTATATAAAATAAAATAATTTTAAAAATGGGTCCATCTAACCACCATGACTCATAAATGGCAGATGCTCTTTCTCTGTAGCCTTCGCCTTGCTAACAACACTGCGGCGCGGGTCTTGACTTACTAGGCCGCGCTTCTATTATCACTGTTAGATAAATTGACGTTAGTCATATAAAAGAAAAAATATGCATCAAATCGGATGATAAATATATATATATTACTTACAAAGTTTACGGTTTTGGTATGGCCAAGTTGAAGCTGCATAAGATGAAATCATCAAAGAGAGAGCCAAAAACAAAGCAATCAACCACAAATTTCTCTTCATTTTCTTTCTATCTTTGTGTTGTAGTTGTAGATAAAAATAGTTCTATGTATGTGTGTGTATTTATACCAATTTCAAACTAAAAAATGAGGTTTAGAACGAGGCAACGTGTGGAAAACATATAGTCTGACGACTGACTTTAAGAACAAGAATAGTCTTCCACGTAGACAAACAAACAAGGGAAACCTTTTCTGTTGAATTGTTATACAAATGTGTTATGAAGCCTACATCCAAAATTTAAATACCACATGTAGAATAAGATATACGAGATATGGATAATGGATCAATTTACTTACTTTTGGTAGGAGAGTTTCTTGGTTAATTACTGATCATAAAATGGTTAAAGTAGCATATCTTTATCCATCCAAAAGTAGAATTTGGTTCGACACGGATCAAAGGAACTGGAGAAAAGACTAGGTAGGTCCTAATTCTTAATTGAAATAAACATAAAATATAGAGATGTAAGACTAGGTCTTAATTCGTATGATTGTACGTACATAGATTATTTACGTACTCTTCTAGTATTTCTGTTCAAAAAACTGAGCTCATCTAATCCTAGTTTGAAAAAAAGACCTAATGGACTTTTTTTCTATAGCGTATTTGAAATGGTCAAAAATGTAGTCAGCCACGACACCAACATATTTTTTTTCATCTGAACCCTACCCTTGAACACATGCTTGACATTGCTCATCTTCAACATTGGTCCATGCAACACGTTATCAGTTTTTGAATATTAGATCATGACTGAAATTGATATTGTTTGAAATCCAGAGCACAAGGAAAGAAAAACAAAAAGCTTATACACATTTGAAGACTGTAAATTAAGTGTCTAATTGGTAATATGTTACGTATGTATATAGTTTAATTTCTTTTTAAAATTCTCTTTTTTTTTCATGAATATCTATATATATATAGAAATCTATGTCCAAAGTGAACAAATGTAAAAGCGGTATATTGTACTTGTGAAAGAGAAGTTATACTCTCGCCGCAAAGTACAAAACTCCAATCTTCTTTCAATGCAAATATATCTTCCAAAAACATTACGAATTACATTATACTTTATCGTGTTCGGTAAAAGCCGAAAGCTACAATTGGTTTTATCGTACTTAGTAAAAACATTATAACTGCTAAAACTATAAACAATTTTTGAAACATGTATATGTCTAACCGCCGGTGCCTCTGGGTGGCGTTCTTTTACATGAATATGATGGTCTTGTGTCTACTTGCTGGTATGCTTTAATACAGTGCCTTGCGGGTGGCGATATACTATGCGGTGTTGCAATTTTTTCATCTATAAGAAAATTAATATAGGAAATTACAAAATATAACAATAAATATATTTGAGTTAACCCTTTTTTTTACTTCACACCATAGACATATGGACCAATCTTTATTGATATTATCTTTTGAATTTGATTCTTTTTTTTTTCGTATTCTTCTCTTGCACATGGAGATTGACACGAACATTTAGATGATAACTGATGAAGACCAAGAATCAGTTAGTAAATAACATAAATAAAAATACTCACTGAAATCACGGGATTTGATGGGTTGAGGTATGAGCTTTTGGGACGAATATGCCGAAGAAAACACAAGAAGGAAAGTTATCAACCACAAGAGTACTCGCATTTCTATGATTCTTCTTTATATGTAAACTTACAAAATTTAGTGGAATATATTGTGGATCCATCTCTTAATGGGTATTTATATCGATCAAGTCGTTTCCAAAGTATTAGTCAAGTTTCATAATGATGATTATTACTTTGGAGTCTATAAATTTCCAGGAAAATAATACCCAAAAAAAAAAAGGCGAGACAAGCTTTATCATGGCGTATGGGTAATTTCCAAATTTGTGATTATTGGATCCCGATCAAAGTCAAAGGACATTTATCGTGGACGACCAGACTTACCAACAGTGGTTTGCTAGTTAAAGAAAAAATAAGTTCTTTCACACCTAGTGATGATCGTCGTAAAGCATACACAGATATCGTATAAAAAAAAATATTAATAGAAGAAGTCAAAGAGCATGAACATCGTTATCTAGAAATGTCTTTTCACGTCCAGTGAGTACAAAGACAAGGTCAATCTTACGTACATAATTTAAAATTATGTGACAGCTTGGTTAGTTGACAAAATATTGTATGGAGAAAGCCCCAAAGAAAAACTTAGAGCATGGTCATAGGTGATACTTATAAAGTATCATTAAGAATTTTTTAGTATTATTTATAATGTTTGTTTAATGTTTTTTTTTTCTTTTTCTCCTGCTTTTGGCAAACGCGACCAATCAGAAGATGCCACGTCAGATGATACTGGTATCAAAAGTATCACTGGGCTGATACTGATCAGGCCCAATCTAATTGTTTTGTCAATATAAAAATAATTTTTGGGCTTGTGATACTCTAAAAATATCACCCATGTACATGGTCTTATAAGAATAATCAAAACATTTGTTTTCTTTTTTTATTATCGTGTACTATGCATAAAACTAAATAAGGTTTCAAAAATCAGGAACATTTAAAAAAAAAAAAAAAAAAAAAAAATTCAGGAACATTTTTGAGATTAATTATACGATGAGCCACAAATCGTATATCCATCGCCTTAGACTGAATTTGGACTTGCGGCTTGTGGCGAGTCACTCTCACCCCATTGGCGATCGGGTGGTGACTTACTACGAGGTGCTCTGATCTTCATTATCTTACGAATGTGAATCGTTTCTGCTATTGTTTCTTCTTCTATACAATTTTGATTAGGTATAAAAAAAAGTGAATTGATCATATTTACTATCATGCATACATGTATAAAAAGTAGCTAAATGTTATCCAACTTCTAACTAAATTAAATATCTTTTTACTTTTCTTTTATAATTATATAGCTTCTCATTTAGCATATATGGGAAAGAGGATGATACAAATATCAATAATACTTACTGGATTTATATGATTGAGCTAAAACGACGTATGATGAAATCTCTAAGGAGAGAATCAAAAGCGAAGCAATCAAACAGAACTTGACCTTCATTTTTCTGGTTGATACCTTCTATTGTACATGAATATAGATATATATCAATCAAATTTATGACTTAAGTTTTATCATAACTTATTAATCAAGTTTTCAAGTAGCGCGTCAGAAGACTTTCTATATAAACATATTATATATATATATATATATATATATATATATATAAGTCAAGATATAGCTATGTTTCTAGGGAGATTTGACTATATATACACGCTCTTTTGGATCAAAGGATATTAAGCTATTTTTATTCTTTTGTAAGTTTACTTAAGTTTTAATATTAATTAATTTATTGACGATAAATATATTCTATTTGATCAGCATTTTTTTTTTTTTTGGTAGGATTCTATTTGATCAGCATTTTAAACAAAAATATGTACAAGTCAAACAAAAATCTTTTTTTCCCCGGATTTGGACTGTCCTTTACATTGGGGTTCATAAACAACTAATCATACAATATTTTATATCAAATCTTAAAGAACAAAAAAAAAAAAAACGATGTACGAATATGCATTGGTGATTGACCGATCCGTCTAACCATATCAACCGGCGTGCGGGGGAGCTCCACTGGATGGTGTACCTTGGCCCGCAGGCGTTGTCACACTACCTGGCGTTTGGATCTTCTTTGTCTTGTGAATATGGATCATTTCTCTTATTTCGTCTTCTACAAAAAATAGTGTACGAAGCATGAGGTTATAGATCCTTCCAATGAGTTTATATGCATGTGGTAGTTAAATTCGAATATAGATTCCTTAATTTGGCTTAAGCATATGTTAATATAGATGAAACAAAGCGGATGACAAATATTGATGATATACTCACTGATTTTTCGAAATTTATATGGTTGAGCTGAGATCGTGATCTCGAGTGAAAACAACAAAGAGAGAACCAAAAGAGAAGCAAACAACCACAACTTGCCCTTCATTTTTCTTTTGTTTTTTTGGCGGTATACGTTACATACACAGCTTCATACATGGGTATTTATATCAAATCAAACATATATGACTACGAGGTTCCTTATAAGTTGAAAGCTTTTAGTTGATATTCTATCAATCTTGTATAGTTCAGAACTTTGACGACGCAAAGGCTACGTAATAAAATAATTTCACTCTGATAACATGGATTAATTAATCATGGTTAGTCACTGTGCACCATTTAGATATATAAAATATCCGAAATTTTATATGCCCAGTCTTAGTTTGGGCTTTAGTCCAGGGAAGAAGTTTAAAACAAATAAAATATGCATAGTACATTAGGAAAAGGTCAAATATGCTTGTATACGAATTAAGATGATTAATTACTTGGTCTTTTTGATTCAAATGAACGAACAGAACACTATCACACACAAGAAAAAGAATACCAAATTTTATCTACAAGTCTTTATAAGATGAAAATTTGAGATCGATAGGATCTTATTTGCTGTTTAAGAACATGAACATATATCGTTATCTTTATTGAGTTAGTTAAGCATATTTACATGTATACAATAAATTGGCTCGTTGACAATTCCTAAGAGAAGGAAGAATCTTGATCTTTGTATACTTTCAGAACTGGTTTTTCTAACGGCCATGGCCTTGCGGTGGCGGCTTTCTACAAGATCCACCATTCCTACATCCGAGTGCTGGTCGCGAGTCACTATGAGGTGTTCCAATCTTCACTGACACTCTTACATCTTCTTCTAGACATTTTAAGTAACTTCTTAGTATATATATCGATAATACACAAAAAAAAATTGTAGATTAATGCAAAACGTAGTATGAATCAATTAAATGCGCGAATCAAATGGAATGAAAAAGATGTAATTTTTCTTACTAACCAACTCATGAAAAGAAGTGGAAGAAACATAAAACGCATTTCTGTAAACTTGTGTTATCGAAGAAACAATTCCAAACTATGGAACATTCTGCCATTTCAGAAATTGCAGAAACATTCTATTATTCTTCAAGCGGTAACAATCTGAACATTTTGGGCGTGTGTATATTGATGCCTTTATTCATAAACATCATAAATGAAAACACTCACTAAGTTTACGAAATTTGTATGGTTGAGCCGAGACCGCCTTGGATGAAATCACCAAAGAGAAAATCAAAAGCGAACCGATCAACCACAACTTCCCTTTCATTTTTTTTTTATAATTTTGAGTTGAATATTTCTTGAATGGTACGGTATACAGCTCTAAACTTATGTGTATTTATATCAAACCAAACATACGACTAAGGTTCATTATATATATTCTTTTACTTCGTAGACATTTTTCCATGCAATGTATTATCTATTTTAAAAACTTTTCCCAGTTTACCGCGTGAAGTGAATTGAAAAAGTCGTAAGTTACGTAATAACTATTTAAAATACACACAAGACAAGATCAAGTCTTCTGCAAAAAGAAACCAAAATAAGATTGGCATGACTGCATAAGTTATTACATTTTTTGCTGTTTTGATGCTGGTCACTATAGTTGTAATAATTCTTAGTTATTTTTCTAGTTAACTAATCGGAACAAATTTGAAGCAAACCAGAAAGAAGATGTAATAATCCATTTTCCACCAAATGTGAGAAACTATGTGCAACCAAATAACATTAAACACTAAAGACTGATCTCAAACGATCCCATCAATTTTTCTCTGTTCAAGTAACCTGTCTTCAGATTGTGAGCCTTAGTCTAGTTAACCAATGAATTGTTCGCCATAGAAGCATCACTGATATCGCCATTGTTATCATCGTTTCTCGATGTGTCTGCATCCTTCTTTGGCTCATCATCATCTGCTGTAGGAAGCAGATATCTGCAAACAGGGCATGAGCTATGAAGCTCAAGCCATGGCAACAAGCAGTCACTATGAAACTTATGCTTACACGGCATCTCTTTAGCCTCCATTCCAATCTCAAAATCATCCAAACACACACTACATTGCAACAAACTCTCTTTGATTTTCACCATCGCCAAGGCCTCAACCGCTTCTTTTGTAGCTGGAGGTGTCCCATACCGGTTGTTCAGATCATTCTCAGCCAAACGTTGAAGCAACGTCTCGAATCCAGGTCCAATGAAATAGTCACCCAAAGATCCAGAAGGAACAGAAGCCGTGTCGACAGAATCTTGATGAACCCTGATCCTTTGGTTAAACGAGTTGATCAAGACGACAAGCTCGCTGTTATCGGGATTATCCTCGTTGGTCTCGGATTCAATCAATAACCCAGCTCGAATCCCTTGAAGCAGATTAACAATGGCAGTTGAATGTCTAGTCCTTATCCTCCTAATCTCTTCAAGTTGCCGAGTTATATCAATTTCTCCATCATTGTTCTGATCACCATCATCACCATCATCATCTTCGTCTTCTTCGTTTTCAAGAATAGATTCTGAGTCTCCCTGATGCGTTGAATGTTGTTGGTCATGATTGTTCATCATCTCCATCAAGATAGGAGCCCAGAGAGAATCAGCAGCCTGATGATCAACGGAAACTGAATCTTGATCATCATTATCCATTTGTTCAACGAATCCACTTTGACAGAAATTGCAATTGATGAGTTCGTCTTGAATCAAAGGAACCACCGATCGAGAGCACATGTGACACCAGTACCTAGTCTCTGTTGCATCTTCCATTTCCATAGCTCAATCCTTCCTTGTTCTAACTCTCTCTGCTTATATAGCCAAATAAAACACTGAGAATTTAACCACATGAAGAAATGCAAAAACGATGTCGAATCCTAGAATCAGAGACTTGATCAAACAGCCAGGAAAAAAAAAATATACAGAGAAATCGATCAAATCTCGAATCGATTTTTACTCATCACAACTCAATCTCGGAAGATTAGAAAAGATTAGGGATTTCAAACGAGGAAATTCAAACAACACAACACAACCCAGAAATCAAAAACATCTTTAATAGAAGAATCGGAATAAGGTTTATTGTTAAACGTACCTCTTCAAAACCAAAATGAATATCCAAAGAAACTAGAAGAAAACAGTCGAGGAGCGACCAAGAACCAAATATCAGCAGATAGGGATCATCGTCGATACAAGAATTTTGTGGGGCAAGTGTCTGAAAACGGCTGGAGATCCACGCAGACTTTTTTTTTGAGTCTTTGACCCCTTTTTCAAAATTATTAATCTAATCAATCTCGCTCTAATCAATAATAGTCAGACCGACGTGGATAAGTTTTCGAACTTTAGGTCAAACTTGCACGAAATCATTCATTGCTTATTTATTTACTGACTAGGCCCAATTAATTTATTAATTAGTATCGCAACTTAGCAATCCACATGGGCTGGTGGTTCAACATCAGGCCCCATATCTTTATACTAACCCTCCAATTCACCTATTTTTCATGTACAGAAAAGAATGCTAATGTACATTCCTAGTCCCAAATCCCAATCTCTATACAGTTTCGAGTAAAATGAATGATGATAAAGGCATGGATCTTTCTTGTCACCCCCTATGTAAATCTAGGATCTGGATCTTCAAATCGAAAACAAAGAATGGCCTTAGAATTGCTGAATGAAGTTGCTCGAGTCAAAAGCTATCTTCCTGCAAAAGTGACAGAATGAGTTGGAAAATGCCATGTACAAATGATAAAAGTTGAAGAGCATTGCTGCAAGTAGGAATGTATATTTACCAACACATGCAATTTACTGAGTGCAAGGATTCACTATCAAGAGCAATAACTGCTCTTTTCTATGCCCTAAAAAGGTGATGTGTGCAAGTAAACTCCACCAGAAACAAGGTATAGTATAGTACCGGCCACAATCATTAGATGTTGTATATCAAGTTATCAACAGAGACTAGAATCGAGTGCTTCCAAGGATTTGGATAGAGGAGACTTATTCCGAGAGGCTTCTGCAGCAGACAATGGGGATCCTTTGTAAATGTCTCCAGCTGAATGATGCTTGATCACCTACAAAAGGATACAAGAGGATGAAAACCACCTTGCTATGGCTGTGTAAGTTTTAGAGGAGTTATGAAACAAGAGAGGCAGCATACTATGATGATGTAATATCAGCGCTGTTGGACTCTTGTTTGTTTTTGAGAAACATGTTGCATCTAACCTAGAGTGGCAAAGCGCTAAGAAGCATAGTTTTTTTGTCTAGATAGTTCATCCAATTCTCACTATCTTGCATCAACTACAGTTTCAAAAGAGAGGTCCTAAGAAGCTATCTTGGCAGAGTAACCAAGCATCTGGAAAGCCAATTGGATAATTGCAAACGCAGTTCAGAAAAGATAGACAAACAAGTATAAAACCTCAACTACAATGAGCACATAAACAACTTAAGAGAAGAATAGGTAGAAAATAAAAAGACCTGTTTTGCATTGGGCGAAGTGATATTGCTTTGGCCGCCATCAAACAGAGGAGTGTAGGAGGCCGGTTGGTCAATAGAATCTTCCAAGATTTCATCAGAACGTGAACGTTGCTTAGCTATAGTAGGAGGCTGTAAGAAGCTATTTCGTAATTCTGAATCACGTGAACGTTGCCTAGCTAAAAGAGGAGGTTCTAAGAAGCTATTTCGTAAATCTGAATCAGATTGACGGGGAAATGAGGAGTCTATCATAGAAGCTCCCAGCCTATAGATCTGAAACCATAGCAGAGAAGACGATAGCCTCACAACGAACCCAGCAATTTCCATAGCCAGGGTGAGTTTCACAGAGAAGATGTAAAAGACTTGATACATCTCAGATGAAATGTTCCTGCATAAACAATTAAATCTTTTGTCAACTATAGGCAGCAGATGAATACTACTGGCTTCACAGAGTCTAAACAAGACATAGCAAGGGTTTAAAGATCAATCATTTCAAAAAGATATTGAGCCAATCAAGAGATTTCAGGACAGTTTACAACATGTGATGCAATGCAAATTAAAGAAGACAGAGCAAACTCTTAGACCAAATATCTATCTGATCATGATAACAAGAAAGGCTGTTCCAAGGATAGTGGCATACCAAATCTCGTTGGAGAAAAGTATGAACCATGAGACATCAAGAAGAATGGCGCAGAAAAGAAGAACGGCATAGGTTCTACCAAGACTCTGGCTATTACTCTCGATTGCCACTAACCCAAATAACGCAATCACCAAATTTATCAGCAAGACTCCATTGTACAATGCCCCTAGTGAACCGATCAACGCGCACCCTATCTGAAACAAATGATTTATCAATATAAGTTTCTTGCACTTATTACCACAATTAAAAAAACAAACAAAAAAAAATCGACAGAGAAATCGAAGAACCCTAATTCCAAACAGATACGAACAATTCTCGAGAGAAAAACGCGAAATCGGAGGGAATGAAACAGCTACAGAGCAATTAGGGAATTACCTGAGCGTAGATAAGAATCACGACGACAGATTGGAGCCTAACGTAGTCGCGAAGCCAATTGTGAATTCTATTTCGTAAAGAAACACAAAGCATCGTAAAATCTCAACCTCCTAGCTGCTCTCGTTACTTGTTACTCCAATGTCTCTTCCTTAGACAAAATGGCTCGACGATTCTGATCTTAAATTGCAATTTCCCGGCTAACGAAACCGGTGAAGCGAGAGAGAACGACGATTTGAGAATTTTCGTGAGGAAGAGAGTAAAGAGTTTCTTTGGCGGGATCGCGTTGCAGAAGAGGCAACTAAAAAAAAAAAAAAACAAAAGAAATATTCTCTGTTCAATCGTAACGAAGTTATAAAAGATTTAAGGAGGTTTTCCGTTTCTTCTTCAGTGACGGAGGCTAGAAATTTTGGGCCGTGATGGAACATCTTTAAAAGCCTAATCTAGCCCAAAACTCCAGACCGGTTATTATCTGATTTTAACCAAAATCGGTTATCTCGGTTAGCGATTTTCGTTTCAAAACGACGTCGTTAACTCCTTACATGTCGACCTCTAATTACAGATCGGAGATATGAATCTCTTCTTTCTCTGGATTTGAAAGTTCGATACAAATCTATTGATCCGTCAATTTCTGGAAACGATCTCGATTTCTCTAGGTTTGTGATTATCTTTGAATTCATTGATTGTTTCGTTAGTCGTGAGGAATTGTTCGATTGATTTCTTCTTTGTATCCGGTAGGATTGTTCCGACGACGAAGATGATGAAGATTCAATTTAGTGCGGTGGCGTTATTGGTGGCTCTATCTATGGCCTCTCTCTTTGAAATTGGATTGGCTTCTCCGAACACCGTTCCTGCTTTCCTCTGGTCTCCGCATCTCCAGTTATGCATCTCTTTTTCTCAAATCCTTGTCAAATTGATTGATGGAATTGTGTTAAAAGCCTAGGACTTATGAGTTAGCTAGATTACTGGTTTGATTGGTTTATGTGATTCTGAAAATCAGGTCTGCTAATGGTGAATTGGATGAGGTTGTAAATTATCAGGTCATGTCTGCAAAGGATCTAGTAGGTTCAGTTTTCACTCAAGGAGGTTGGTCAAACTTTCTGGTATGGTTTCTTCTTATGATTTTCAATTCTACAACTCACTGGATGTCAAATGGTTTTTCTTATTGTCATTTTACTGCCTCTTTTGTTTAGTGCTCAGAGAAGAAGCTTGAGCAACCTGTTGATGTTGCACTTGTGTTCATAGGCAGAGAGGTAAGTGAATGATGTAGTAGTATTGTTTTAACATTAGCATAAATGACCAATTGGATCTTTGGTTTCTTGTTGTGATATTGTGAAGAAACTGTTGTTTTTAATATTGTGGGAAATTAATCGTCTTTGCTCTGTATCTTCTGTGCTATGCTGAGAATTCTAATATGCACGTTCTCTTCCGTCTGCAGTTACTGTCTTCTGATGTTTCTTCTAAAAGGAACTCGGATTCTGCCCTTGTTAACACATTGAGTGTAAGTGCACGTTATCATTTCTTCATCACGAAATTCTGATATTGCATCCATAACACAGATCTCTGACATAGTTTTTGCTTTAAGCTTCACAATACTCTAACATCCAAGTCGTTGTTTCAACAGAATCTGTTTACAGCTTCCAACTTCTCATTGGCATTCCCATATATTGCTGCGCCAGGGGAAGAAAGGATGGAGAATTTGTTGCTATCAGGACTTAAAGACGCTTGTCCCAACAATGTTGGAGTCAGCAATATCGTGTTCTCAGATTCGTGCTTTGTTGAGGATGGGACAATTCAGAAACTATCAGACTTGCAGTCTTTCAAAGTAATACTCATTGCTCTTATGTTTTTTGTTACTCCTAATCCCATGCCTTCTCAGTGATCACCCCTTATTCACTCCATAATTACTCATAAATAATTGACAGGATCATTTGCTTGCTAGAAGAGAAACAAGGAAAGAAGGAGAAACTGACTTGGTTGTGCTCTGTTCCGAGGGTTCTGAATCAAAAAGTCAAGCTGGACAGTCACACTCAGAGCGTAAGTGGAAAGATCATTATTGCAAAATAATACTAGCATTTAGATAATTTGAGAACTAGGAAATTAAGCAATTGTTTTACCTATTCTGCAGGTGAAAGCATCTTAGAACTTGTTAGTTCTGTAGAACAATCCGGCAGTAAATATACAGCTCTTTATGTTTCTGATCCTTATTGGTACACATCTTACAAAACTCTCCAAAGGTTTCTAGCTGAAACTGCTAAAGGAAACAGCACTCCTGAAGTTGCAACTGCCTGTGATGAACTCTGCAAATTTAAGTCATCACTCTTGGAGGGCATACTAGTGGTAATTACTCTTTTTACTCTGTAATTTTCGGTTTTCATCGTTCTCAAGCAAGATTCGTGAACATCATAGAATGGACAAGTTTAATGAGCATCTTGGTCATATCTAGCTGGAAGCTAATTTCATTAAATGTGTTTAGATTTCGTAAAAGCCTCTGATTATGTCTCGTCCTTTTCTCTTTCTTTTTGCAGGGAATCGTTTTTCTTCTCATCTTGATCAGTGGACTTTGCTGTATGGCGGGTATCGATACACCGACTAGATTCGAGACTCCTCAAGATTCTTAAGCTGTTGACCTTAAGAGCCATCCCCCACCTTTTGCTTTGCTTTTGACGAGTCTTTTCTTGTGCATAGTGCGCATTGTGGAAGGTACTTCAATGTCGATTTGTTACATTATTACTTCAAAAACAAAATCTGCATATGCCATAAAATCCCCTTGTATCATTTATTCATCTTGTTTGTGAGTCTTTCTTAAACGTCATAAATTAATAATGGAGACGAGTAAAAAAAAAACAGAGATACACTGGAGAACGGATTACATTCTTTTTTCAGAAATTTGTTGTTTCTTTTTCTAAGATTATATTCCAGAGTTATCGTGGTCATAGTATCGTATTCATATCAATTTGGGGATTCGGACATAGATTTTCTGGAAAAACTCAGGACACCGATGTCGGTAGAGTCAGAGTGGTAGGACATGTGTGTACCATCATTTGTATAGTTTTCTTTTTCTTTTTGGGTTAAGAAAAAGGAAATAAGACAAAATGATTCAAGAGAAATTGCATAGAAAGATATAGATGATAGTCTTGTGAACAATTAAGAAAATACAGTAAGAATACATATGTAAGTTTTGTCAACAACATGCAACGTTTATCTAGATAAACCTTTTGTTTAGACTAATTCGGTGATTTTGTTCTATGATTCAATACTTCGCTAATATATTCATCATCATATGTTGAGGTCCTTATGGTCCCTGCATGGACCTATTGACAAAGTCATAAGATCAATCTTTCAGATTCTTTGATTGACCTCTCTCTCTCCACAAAGAAGCGTATAAAGAATCAAAACGACCGAAAACGATGGTTCTATTCATCTTTTCCCCACTATAGTCTTACATTTATTTTACATGACACTATTCTTATCCCTGTTTTTTTTTATCTTTTTCTTTTCAAATTTTATACTATAACAAATACTTCACTCTATTTGTCTAATTACGAAGAAGTTTCATAAACATCATTTATAAAAAATGTTTATCTTTCTTTTTCTTACACATACAAAGTTCCCTAAACATTTATAAAAAAAATGGTTATATCACTAAGACATGTAGCTTAGTTATATACTAGCGTCTAGCGATATTTTTGTGTCATCATCCGAATTATAATTTGCATGTAATGCATATTATCGATAAAATTTATACTATTTTGTTTTCTATACTTCCATATAATTGAAGTTTAAAGATTAAAATATATATATATATATATATATATATATATATAATAAATGTTTATCAAAAAAAATATTTTCAGTTTCGTACAAAATATATATAGATTTTCAGCATGACAAGAAAATAGAGGGAAGCACATGAGTCATAGGGGTTTGAGCCTAAAGAGCAGTGAAAATCCCATCGATCTGCCACTCCACCAACTGACATCACATTGTACCCATTTTCTTCTTCTTTTCCCCAACTATCCATTTTTCTTGTTTACACAAACAAGACAACCCCGAATATATTTATTACATAAACATTTTTTTTCTTACATAAACTATTAGCAATTAAAAATTTGAAATATAAAGAACCATGTTGAAATAACAAATTTGCTTTCATCTTTTATTTGTTTTAGTTTTCATACGTAAATTCTCATGGTGTTTACTTCAAATTTTATCAATATATATATATAGTATATATCTTCTGTGTACCAACATATGACATCTTATTAAATTAATATGTTAATAATAATGGAAATATATAAAAATGTACGGCCACGCAAGCTAAGTGACCTACTCGAGCAGGTCCTTTTTTGATCTTTTCGATAAGTTTTAGATTCCAAGTTCTGATTTGTGTGTATTTGTATATATATAAACACATATTTTTGTCAAAAGAAAAAATATATAAATAACTGACGGTCTCTATTTACTGATTACTTGTTTTATAAACAAACTATATAAAAATAGATGTTTATTTAATAGTGCCCTTTCGAGTACCTGTCGGGACTCGGGATAACTAGGGTTACACGTATATGTTAAGATTCCTTTCTTTTTCTAAAAATGTTTACGTGAATCCCCTTTTTTCTCTCTCTCTCTCTCTACGCACATTTATTTTTCTCGTGAGTTATTTCTTAGTAAGTACTAAAATTAGAAACTTATGGTTCCTATCAACTTACCAAAACCAGGTCGATTTTGTGCAAGTGGGTCTTCTTTCTCAAACCACGTCCCTCGTTTTAAATTTTTATTGCATATACACTTGTCTTTGCTCAAACAGAATCTATCTACTTAGGTTAACCAAAACCTTTTTGAGCTTACTAGAAACTCTATATTTTCAGATATAAATATATTAAGGATCTTTGATGATTTATTAATTTAGAGAGCATCTAAATTTATAAATTTAAAAGATTTTGTTGAAAGGTTTATAAATTTCACAATTTTTTGTCAACGAAAGAAGATTAAACACAATTCAAGAAAACAATAAGATGACGATTTTCGTTATATACACGAGCAATCTATATATCTAATGACTAGTGGTACATGTGAATATGGCTATGTGAAGATGTATGTGTATGTAATGTATATGAATGTGTATATATGTATATGGGCCCATATCTCTTAATGGCATCTGTTAAAGCTGTAAAGGTTTTTGCAGCTTAAGAAAACTAATATTATGAGGATGGAGAAGCATGGAGGAACCTTATCTCTTTCATTAATTCTTTTTTTTTTCGAATCCATATAATTCTTTAATATATGATATATCACAACTGTTTTTATATTTCTTTCAAATTAATTTGGGTTTTTTTTGCTTATCTACCTTCTTGGGGGTATAAAATCTCAAATCTTTCTCTCTTTTCAATTTAATTATTTTATTCCCTCTCATCTCTATTATCTCTTCACCGTCTTCTATATAAACCCAGAGCGAGTGAGTCCTCTAGTATTCATAAGCACCCCAAACAAATATGTAGAGATATCCTCTTCCATCTCTATGGTTTTCACATATACATTTCTTTTTGGTTTGTGGTTTTCCATATATATAAGTGGGTATAGTGAAACGCGTATGTGACGAAAGTAGTGTGCAGCCAAGGATGACTTGCCGATGTAAATGATATTTTTTATACTCTATTAAGACATTTTAGGTTTCAAATTTCTTTGGTTCTTCGAGGATTCAGGAAGAAAGTAGGATATATAGATATATTATGCCGTATTAAATATTTATAATATAAAACCAAGAGGCAAAAGTAACAATCATGATCGGCAAGTTGTCCTTGGCTACACGTTACTTTGTGTCGCGCATAGGTGTTATGTGGTAAAGATCCCCAAGAACTCGAGCTAAGGAACAATGCAGAACGAGGTAAGAACGGTCTGCAAAAATTTGTTTTCCTTGAAAAGTATATGTTTACAACCAAAATTAATTCTTCTGAATATTGAATAAAAGGTTTGTAGTACTAATTAAAATGCTCCCAGATATATATTTTGGTCTATATCTCTATTTCGTTATAGTTTGCTTTAATATACAGGTGGCTCTAATTACATCGTAAACTCTAGACTAATTTCTGGAAGAACAAAATCTTGATGAATGATTATATATCTATATGTATTATCTGCTCAACACGTGCTTCTCAAAAAGATATAGTATATATGTATTTTTTATTTTTTTAGTTCCTCTATAGCTAGAATTAGAAACTATTTGTAAAACAGCTGCTGCCAACAGAAAAAAAAACCATGAGAGGAGGTAATAATAAATAAGTTTTTTTTTTTGGCGGCCACATTACGGAAGCCAAGCCATATATCCGGCAGAGTCGAACCCTTGGGTGAAAAGAGACTGTCGCGCGCAGGTGGAACGTAATTAGGCTAGAGGTGCTTCTCGGTAATTAATAAGTTTTACTCACACCAAACCAGACATTTTATAATTAGGGTTAATTCGTTGTATTACTTTTTTGGAAAGTTTATTTGTAAGAAATAATGATGTGGCCGGTATGATTTAAATAAAGAATGTGATATGATATAAATAGTGTACTAGTATGATAAGAATTCATTGTTGGTTTTTATTTGTAAACACATGCAATAAATAAAACTAGCTTCTTCGTAAATTTTTCATGAGCTGTAAAGTAAATAAAATGGTAAAATTTGGCTATCTAGTGCATATAAATGTTTTTTTACATGATAATAAAAAGTTTTTTTTAACAAAATTAAAAAATTATATTATTCTTATATCTACTACATTAAAACATTAAAGAAAAAAAAAACGTAACTTGGTCGAATCGCATCGTCACAACACACGCGCGCGTGAACTTTCTTTTCCCATTCTCTTCGTTTGCTCTGTTTGACTTTGACCTCAAGCGTCAACCGGTTTTGCTCTCGATGCCGATGAGAGCTACTGTGTCACGCTTGCTTGCGGTGGAATTTAACCTTTCAGGTGATTTAGGGTTTTATTTCGATCTAGGTTTCTTTTTTGTTTTCTCTTGATTTTTGGTCTTTAGTTTTCCAATCGGGTTTGATAATAGGTTAAACGAATCCGATTGTCATAATTAATTAACAATTCAAACTTCTTTCCAACAAAATCAAGCTGTGAAATTAATCTCTTTATTGTGCATGAATATTCCATGATTTGAATCTCTTATTCTCTATCTCCAGTGTAGTTTCTTCGATTTTTTTTTTTCAGATTTACTCATCGATATGATCGAGGAGATATTCAATATGGGGTAAAAATTATAAGCTTACTAAATTATCTTTCTGCTTAATTTCTTGAGATTATTTTCAGAATAATATATGTGATATCAACAGTGTATAGAAAGAAGTTTAGATTACTTAACTTGATTTCGTTTTACTCTTAGGGAAACAACAAGTTGGTCTATAGTTAAATGATATATAGAATGTTTAATGAAATTAGGAAAGGGTTAATTAATCACGTAATACACTCACTTGGAAAGTAGAATTTTACATATAAATAGAAAAAACTTTGTCGAAGTGAGTTTAAATAGTGTAGGGTGTAGGTAATGGCAAGCCCTTGACGATGCCGCAAAGGTTGGTGTTGAGTGGGATGTTGTACTCGTCTCTTAGTGATTTTTCAGGTGACAAAACACTGACGTACAATTGCTGGCCCAAGTATCTTCTCTCCCAGTTCTCTGATCTGATGTTCCACATACCGGCATTGTCGAATGTCAAGAGAATGGCTGACCAGGATTTGGGGTACACCTGCACGGTGTGTCTGCTAACCGCATCGAGCAAGTTGTAGTTCTTTC